TGCAAGCGAGGACCGGGAAAGATTGGGCTTCGAGGGTTCCTCTTTACTAGAAGAGTCCCCGAGGTAGTAACGCCGGTATGCCGCTGCGGTATGGCGCGCGAGACATTCGAACACCTCGTACTCGAATGCAACGGAGCCGCAGATAAACCCTCATCCCTGGCCAGACGACGGCGCAGAGCTACTGGAGTGGCTAGATGACGTGGAGAAGGCTGCCATAGTGGTGGGGTGGGTGCTTGGACTGGGGAGGCTGAACGAGTTCCGGCTGGCGGTAGAGCTGGAAAATGAGAACAACGAAGAGGCCCGCGGCGGGGCCGAAGCGGAGTAGCAGAAGGGCATCGATGGAACAGAGGTTACGACTCATTTTATCTATTTCGTTACTTTGACCTCGGAAGGTGGGTGAGCCCTTTCGAGGAGATGGATCCACGGGGTAGCGGCAAGGCCGCAGCGGAGGTGCGGAGGTTTTCATCCAGCTTAGGCATGGTTTTTCCTACCGAGTTAATCGCTGAGGGACCGCATGTACTTAGTACCTAGCGTGATAAGAGAAATAATAATAATAATATACAGCCTTTTCCGCGGCCACACCCCTGAACAAACGATGAACTACCACCAGATCACCAGACTGCAACCAGGAGGTACATAGTAACATAGGCACCTATCTAGGTATCTAAGGTATAGACGGACATTAATGAATCCAGCCCTAGTATCTCTACTGGTGTTCCGTTGTTGAACATTACTACTTTAACACGGAGGGATTTGATGTTAGAATCATATTTATTTCGGAAAACTGTACTTTTGGTTCACAGCTGAGATCTTCACAGAAAATCCCCGGATGACGGTGAGTTGAGTGTTCAACCATTGGCCAACCATGGTTAATACATGCACCAATTTTTAATTTTCTGCCTAATCAGCGCAACGAAGGATAACTGAACACAGGGCAATATGCATGTCGCTTACTGTATACCGAGAGGTGTCCACCCCAAAAGCCGGGTTGGGGGCCAAGGTTGTTTGGGTAGGGAAGGACTAATCCGGCTGCCTAGAGCCGACTTGACGCTATGGAAGTATCGTCTTACTTTCATCACAAACACCATTTGTCCGAATGTGTCAGGCAGCAGGTTTCCATCACCATTGATTGATCTGACGCTTTCTGCACCAAAAGCCAACCAATTGTGGTGCCTAGCAGGCAAAAACGCTAAATCAAAGCAAAGGGGCCGATTCAAACTGGGAACTTCCCCTCGGGTTCCATGTCATGGCATTTGACGCTGTCTTTTTTCTAAGTTGCCTACCGTATTCGCACTCTGCGACAGAAATACTCGTAAATCTCTCCATCTCGCCCCTTCGCTGCGACCATGGTCAACTTCGAATGGAACCATTTCGGTCCGATCCCCCCAATCGAGGTGGATGCCATAATTGAAGCCGATAAATTCCGTCGGGAACTCAGCGAGGCCTTCCCGGCCTATGCAGCCGACTTTAACGACAAACTCACAGCATGGCAAAAGAAATGGTTTGATCCGGAGCGCCCGGCGTCATCCAGGTAGCTACCTGCCCACGCCACCCCCCTAACGGGACCATTGGTAGGCTGACAATGATGTTGTAGTGCGCTGGAGCGCTGCGAACTGCCCGAGTACGATCCCCTCTTGTTCTTGGGCCCCAAGACAATACCTCTCTTAGTATTCGAACTGTCCAGGCCCGGGAACTTTATCGCCACCACCTTGTGTATGCAATACCCCACCTACCCAACCCCTAGGATCAGTTTGATTAACAACCCGAAACCAGATAACCACCTCGAGACCGACAAACACGCCAAGGTCGACCCACAAGACATCGCAAACTACCTGACCCTCAACCGTCACGCCAACCTCATCGTCGAGCTCAACCACGAGCGCCGCCAGCGCTTCAGAGTGCACGCCGAAGCCTGGAAGGCACGACGAGCCCGGAACCTCCGCATTACCACCACCCAACTCCCCCCCCACCTCAGAGGCCAGCACCACCCCCACCCCCGACCCCGACACGACCTGCCCCGAGTACGCGTCTCTCGTGGCGATGGGCTCGGGAATCATCGCGCATGTCATGCTCGAGTACCGGGCGGGACCGGACGGGGCCCTGGCACAAGCTGATGCACCAGCTGGTGTGTGAGCGGCCGGCCGGAGGGGGAGGGGGACGGCGTGCCGGGGGTGGGGGTGGGGGTTGGGGCGGGGGTGCGGTCGGGAGTGGGTGAGTATGAGCGCTGGTGTGACTGGTTTGAGTATCAGGAGCATCATGAGGCGATGGTGGGAGGGGGGACGCCGGCGTATTTGAGGAATGTGGGGACGTGGTCGTGATTGTTGGGGGTGGTTTTTGTTGTTGATGGTGGTGGTGGGGGGAGGGTAGGGAAGTGTACTAGTTCATGAGGTACCTTATTGTAGGGTTAGTGAATGTATAAAGTGCAGACAGATGTGTAAGTAACAACTAATTTGTAGACAACTTGGATATTGAACCACACATAACCCTAACCCAGCGAACCCAGGCATTGAAACATTCACACAACAAGGGGCGGGTATCAACGGCCCAAAGCCGGGGTGAATACGGTTTCATCCGCAACACTCGATCGAAAATGAAATAGGGTGCGCTTGGTGAGGAAGTCCTCAAGCTTAAGAATATGATAACTTGATACCTACAGAGGTTTGGTTCCCAGCTAAATGTTAGGCTAGTTTCAAATCCCTAAAGTATTCAGAGCTTGCCTGTTGTAGGAGCTCATGCTAGTTTGTACGAATAGCCGTGAGCGTGCTCTTGATAGAGGTTTCTATTCGTTCTGTCGGCAAGAGAGCCGCATCAATTTGAATCGCGGATTCGACCGACCCAAGTGCCGACAGATCGGGAAGGGCAGCAGTTGCGGGTGATAAAATCCTCGGGCCCGAGCTCACCATTGGCTCGGAAATTCCCGCGGCCCAAGGTCAGTACCAACCGCGACACGAAGGATGGGGCCTCTGAGCGTCATTTCCAAAAAGTGACATCGGGCCCCCCTTCAAAACCAACAACACAGTCTTTTTGGCGATAACATCGACCACCTCTCCTCTCTCTCCGCTGCGCCTAATTGCAGAACCTACTAGAGCCCCTCGTCCGTAACCTATCACAATGTACAGACTCGGTCGCAGCCGTGCATTGGCTTCGGCCTTTTCCGCGCCCAAGGTGCGACTGAAACCCGCCGATCCACATGCTGACCTCGTTGGGGGGGCAGCTCTCCAAGCTGAGACTGACGCCGATATCGACCTTAGGTCTCCCCCTCCGCTAGACTCCAGAGCATCGCGCAACAACAAAGGAGAGCCCTGAGCATCCACGAGTACCGTTCCGCCGACCTCCTCCGCCAGGTGAGAGGGGCACCTCCTCAAAACCCCCCCTTATCGAAAGGAAAAAAGAGCGCTCGCTGACATGGAATGGTCGGTATCACACAGTATGGTATCGATCTCCCCAAGGGCTCCGTTGCGACGACCGCCGCTGAGGCCGAGGCGGTTGCGAAGAACATCGGCACCGACGACATGGTCATCAAGGCCCAGGTGCTTGCTGGTGGGCGTGGCAAGGGCAGCGTGTCGACGAAACGGGCTCAAGGGCGGCGTGCGCGTCATCTACTCGCCGACCGAGGCCAAGATGTTCGCCGACCAGATGATCGCTTACAAGCTCATCACCAAGCAGACGGGCGCCGGCGGCCGTCTGTGCAACGCCGTTTACATCTGCGAGCGCAAGTTCGCCCGGCGCGAGTTCTACCTGGCCATTCTCATGGACCGTGCTTCGCAAGGCCCGTCATCGTCTCGTCGTCGCAGGGCGGCATGGACATTGAGGGCGTCGCCAAGGAGAACCCGGACGCCATCACCACCACCCACATCGACATCAACGTCGGCGTGACGGACGAGATCGCCCGCGGCATCGCTACCAAGCTCGGCTTCAGCGAGCAGTGCATCGAGGACGCCAAGGACACCATCAAGAACCTCTACACCATCTTCCTCGAGAAGGACGCCACCCAGATCGAGATCAACCCGCTCTCGGAGACGTCGGACCACAAGGTCATGTGCATGGACGCCAAGTTCGGCTTCGACGACAACGCCGACTTCCGGCAGAAGGAGGTCTTTGAGTGGCGCGACACCACCCAGGAGGACCCGGAGGAGGTGCGTGCCGCCGAGGCCGGGCTCAACTTCATCAAGCTCGACGGCGACATCGGGTGCCTGGTCAACGGCGCCGGCCTGGCCATGGCCACCATGGACATCATCAAGCTCAACGGCGGGCAGCCAGCCAACTTCCTCGACGTCGGCGGCGGCGCCACCCCCGCGGCCATCAAGGAGGCCTTCGAGCTCATCACCAGCGACCCCAAGGTGACGGCCATCTTTGTCAACATTTTCGGCGGCATCGTGCGCTGCGACGCCATCGCCCACGGCCTCATCAACACGGTCAAGACCCTCGACCTCAAGATCCCCATCATCGCCCGTCTGCAGGGCACCAATATGGAGCAGGCCCACCAGCTCATCAACGAGTCCGGAATGAAGATCTTCTCCATCGACGACCTGCAGAGCGCCGCCGAGCGCGCCGTTCAACTCTCCAAGGTTGTCAAGATGGGTGCGTGGCCTGTTTGTCCGGAAGGATAGATCTATCTTGTTTGTGTGTTTCATACTGACGAATTTGTGTGTTTTTTATAGCTCGTGATATTGACGTTGGCGTTGAGTTTACGCTGGGCATCTAAGAAGCGTCCGCCTGGGATTGGGGTTGGTTTTGCAAGATAGACTGGCTGGGTCGATCGACAGGTTGATGGTAGGGCTTTGGAGACGTTCCCTTTGTTTACTACGGCACTGCTACTGCGGCTCTGCTTGTGTACATCCCAACCTGATGATGCTGTGCATGTTGTAGGTAATCCGTGTGTGTCCAAGTGTGTTGTGGGTGGCTGGCTGGGTTGATATGTGAAGGGTTAAGGGGAAGAAGCGGGCTACGTACTACTAGACTTGACTTTTGGCAATGGCACCTTTTCTCGTTGTTTATGCTGCTTGTGTGTCGTGTCGTATTATGAGGCTTGCTGTCTCACAAGTGGCCACTGAGATCTCAACATGGCTTAAGATACCCTGACTTGGTACCTTTTTCAGCCCATCGTTGTATGCGTAACGGCAGCTTGGGGGGTTCAATTAAGCAGCTAAGGGTGCCAAGCCAACCCACTTTCACACATGCCTGGGCTTAACTCCCCTACCTTAGGTACCTGAGACTTTCACTCACTTTATTTATGAGGCCGTTTTCATTCATATGCATCCACCACACGATCGAGTAATCTGCCTTTGGATCCCCCACCACTTTGGTCAAACGAAGGACACCAATAATAGCACACAACCGCCCCCAAATCTGAGCTGACGTCATGCAACGGGCCCCGATCCCGGGCTCCGGATCTTCGATGGTCGACAACTCGGACGCCGCCGCCGGGCCCATATCGTCGTTTGGCGCCTTGAACCTGTCTAAGAACAGCGACCCAGATGGCCTCTCCGGACCGCAATGGAGTTACCGCGACCCCCGGACGTCGTCCACTCATTCCTTGGTACCATCGGCCGACGATGGCGATGAGGATAACCGGAAAAGGAGGCTCCTCGTCGTTTACATTCACGGCTTCATGGGGAACAATTCTTCCTTTCGCTCGTTTCCCGCCCATGTACACAGCTTCCTGAAGAACCTGCTGGTTGAGACCCATGTCATTCACACCAAGATATACCCACGGTACAAGACCTACAAGTCTATCGATGTGGCCTGTGACAACTTCAGCAAGTGGCTGGCACCTCATGAATCCCCTACTACCGACGTGGTTCTTATAGGGCACTCAATGGGTGGTTTATTGGCTGCGGATGTGGTTCTTTTGGTATGTCTCCAACGCAGGTCTCCTATCAAGTGCGCGGAATGAAACCAGCTGACATATGCACCCCCTCTCCTAGCCACGCAACAACCCATACGATACATCACATCCCTTCCGCCATAGGATCTTAGGTACCATTTCCCTCGACGCTCCGTTGCTTGGTCTTCATCCCGGCATCGTGGTTTCTGGCATCGCGAGCCTCTTCCGGCCTGCCCCCAGCCCACCGGGGATGAGCGAGGAGGCACAGCCCGACTATCTCCAGCCCCAAGGACTTTCGCCAGACCCATCCATCTATTCTGAGGTCTCGCCCCCGTCGGGTGCTTCCTCGCCCGCTCTCAACGCGTATCCGTCTAGCTCGACAGGAAGCTCTTCAACCCTGCCGCCCCGCGACCCATACTTTAATCCACCGTTCCCCAATGATGTGGCTTTCGTGGACCGCGGCTGGTTCAAGAACATTCTTCACTTCGCTACCAAGCACAAGGAGGAGAACCTGGTTTATGCGGCCGCCAACCACATTGTGTCTCACCTCGAGTTCGGTGCGTGCCTGGCCGACTACCCCGAGCTGAAGTCCAGGTACAACAGGCTCAGGCAGCTGGAAGACGACGTCGACCCGAGCCAACCGGGGCGCGTGCGCGTCCGCTTTTCCAACTACTACACAGTCTCGACGGGAGTGATCAAGAAACCCAGAACGCCCTCGCCGGACGGCGCTTCTTCGAACAGGCCGGACATACAAGAAGGCTCTGGGCGCCCATCCCATGAAACTGACTCATTGGCACCGACCCTCGGGAGTCGACGGAAGAACCCCGTGTGCGGACCCCAAGGATATCGGTGGATGAATACAGCGACGGATCAGGACGGGATAACCTTCAAATCCTCGAACCCATGCCGGAGCCTGAGTTTGAGCCCGAGCTGAAGGCTGGGCTGGAGACTGGGCCTGAGCCTGAACTCAAGCCAAAGACCGAACCTGAACTTGGGCATGAGTTAGAGCCCAAGGTTTCTAACAAGCCCCCCGAACCGCACTCCCAACATGAGGATAACGCACCAGACACGACGAATCCCACACGCACCGCCACACCCGCCGACGATGATGTTCCCCCTCCTGAAGAAGAACTCACAAAGCAAGACTCCAACCTCCCCACAATCCCCTCCGTGCCCTCACCGCCCACACCCCCTAACCTAGACGCCCTCCCCGACAAGGAATCCCGCAAACAAGCCCTGAAGGAGTACAAGGCGGCCGTCAAAACCCACAGCCAAGCCACCAAAGCCCGCGACAAAGCCCTCAAGGACCGCCAAAGAGCCCTCGACAAGCAAGAACGCCAGGCCGCCAAACTCGCCAAGAAGCAAGCCAAACTCCTCCTCCAACAGCAGCAACAGCAGCAGCAGCAGCACCCCCCACCCTCCCCAACAACAGCACCAGCAGCGAGCGACGACTCAACAACCCCAAACCCACCACCCAAAAAACCCCAAGAAAAAGAAAAGACCCCCTCCAAAACAAAACCGCCCCGCCTCCGCAAATTCTGCCTCCTCCCCTCCCAAGCCAAGGCCGGCCGCGACCCGGCCTGGGTCGAGGTGTACATGGAGGGGGTGGACGAGGTGGGCGCGCACTGTGGGCTATTCCTGCCGGGCCCGCACTACGAGCGGCTGGTGGGCGATGTCGGGGAGCGGGTGGCGCGGTGGGTGGGGGAGGAGGCTTCGAGGAGGGTTGTGGCGGGGGGTGGTGGTTGAGGTGATTGGTAATTAATTGGTTTGGAGGGGGGGGCGAATGGGAGGGTAAGGGGAGGGAGAGAAAGGGGGGGGGAAGAGAGGGAGAGGGTGGATGGGGGGAGCCAAGTGACTAGTCCCAGGAGAAGGGGGCGGGAGGCCGGGAATGGGAGAGGGCTTGAGAGGGACTGGGGTTGGGTGAATGAGGGCCGGGAGGCGAAGTGGGTGAGGTGAATGCTACGCGTTGAGTTCCAAGGCTGTCTTGTCTTCCATGGCACTCGCCAGGCTTCGCCTGTATACGTATATTGACCAAGAACAAACTGGATGTGTCTTCTGAATAAATAATGTCTATTGTCTATCGAGCTCCTTGCTGCTTGCCTTCATTAGACTGCGTTGACATTGACTATTGACATGAAAACTCGCCAAGCAACCAAAGGGGGCCAGACCACGTCGCCCCAGCTTTGCGTTGCCGTGTTCAAGGAGTGGCGGGAAGACGCACGCTCGCGGCTCAAGGTTCGTTTCCATGGGCCAGGGAGGACAGTTAACCCTTTTTGTTAACACACCAGGCACCTTGTTATTGTTACATGATCCACTTCTCGACTTGGAGTAATGAGCTTGATGCCCAGTAACATACGTCTCAAACCCAAAAGCTAGCAGGTGCTACACCCTTTCGTCATCACATGAAGCACGAACCTCAATTTAAATACGCAATCGCTGCATCATTATTGCATATATTTAGCGCCTATCTTGGCCCAACAAAATGCGCTGTGGGCATAAAACCATAGATAGACGTAGCAGGTAGGTAGCAAGGGTGCCTTCCCATCATATCATCCACTGCCGGCGCATAATCGTCGTCGCTTCTTCCTGACTCGCACGTAACAAGAACCCGTTTTCGTCTGCCCGTGCCGTCGTCAAAGCCAAGCCCATCCTAGGACGACGCGAATGCCCCCCGGCGTCCAAAATGCAGAAACCATCCCCGAAAATATAGCAAGGTCCTCTTTCATTCTTGGGAACCGGACTGGGAAAAAAAAAAAAAAAAAACCAAACCCCAACGCCATGCTGAATGTTTGTTGAAATGCAAATATGCGCCAGCCTCAGCTGCTCGAGGCTCACTGATAGGCGGCGTGGTGGCCGTTCGTATTTTGATGCCAGCAAAGGAGGGACCGACCGCTCCGTCTGAGGCGTCACACCTCGAGTCGTAGCCCTCGTACTTTTTCTTTGGTTTCCCATCTTTGCGCTGGCACCGGCAAGCCTAAAATCTCTGACCGTCTTTGTTTTGTCTCGGTTGTCGCCTTTCTCTCGACTTCGATAAGCGCGCAGGACAAGGCGCGATGGGATTGTTCTGCGTTGCTGCGAGGAACGTCTTGTCAACCGAGTCACCAGGTATCACCCTGAACACTGATCAGGTGGCTATTTCCTAAGTGCGCTGCAAACGGGGTCTGCCTCGTCCGCGGCGCGGCTCGACAGAGCGGCTGCACGGCTTGGCACCGGTGACGTCCTATGTCCCGGTGATGCTAGTGCCGTAAGCCGGTTGTCGGGTCTGGTTGGGGTACGACTGGTGCGCGGCTTGATGGGCCTATTTTCAGAGTCAGTAAAGGTTTCTCATCAGACTGGATCCTAGTCATTGATGAGCACCTTTTTTCTCCGCTTCTGCCCAGAGGACATGTCGCCCTCTCCGGTTGAGTAGCCGGTGTCGGCGCCGTCGTCGTAGCTCTCGCCGTATCCTTCGAAGCTGCTGTCACCGTAGCTCCGTTTCTTGATAGTGCGCATCGACCGAGACGCATCCTGCATGAGGGGCGTGCCGGTCTTAGGCCGGGGCAGGCCTTGCGGGCCTGCAGAGGGAAGGGGAGTGTTGGGCGCCGTTGGTCTAGCCGACAGTGCTTGCCGCTCACCCTTACCGGGACCCATCTCTCCCAGCACAGAACTGTCCCACTGGTCTCTGGGGACGACACCCCTGCCCATGGTCATGGCCCTCGATAGCTTCTGTTGCACCTCGTTGGTGAAGCCATCCCTGATATCCTGCCCCCGTACGTGTTGAAGATCCCAGACATCTTGGGGCAGCTTCATCAGGTGCGACAGGCTGTACTCTCGGTTGGGATCTTGCTTGTCTTCGTCGAAGTGGCCTTGAACGCCAAGCCTCTTGATGTGCCCTTTATACGTTTTCCTAAGCGCATTCTTTTCGCCGTTCGGCCGCACACGGGCAACCTCAATAGCGAGCCCTGTCAAGCCATACATCTCGAAGAGGTCTTCCGACACGTGAGGCCGGGGCCGAGGGTGCGCTGGAGAGTCAACGTTAACCAAGTCTCTGGGAAAACAGAAAAGGGGGCCGAAGTGTAACTCGGCTCCCAAAACATCGCGGCTGGGGGAAACCATAGCGGGCCACATGCGCTATGGTATGAGCGAAGTGGGGACCCCTGTTGCCGCCGTGGCACATGCCGCGCTGCTCTGAACAGGGAGAAGGGAGTCTTACGAGTTCTGCAAAGAAGGTATTTCTCGCCGACATCCATATGAAGGTCGTCGATACCAAGCTTGCGGTCCTCGACGTGAACTTTCTTCTGCGCTCTGCTGCCCATGTCATCGCCATCTCGCTTGCGCTTGTGCGGGGAGTCGTCTCCCATGGCGGTGTCTTGGGTCAGTTCCGAAGGTATCGAGCTTCCGTTGACGCTGTGGGCGGGGGTCGGCAGCGTGGTCGTGGTCGACGTGACGGAGCCGGTCATGCTCATCATCAGGTCACTCGTGTTAGGAGAGAACTGGGAAGGGCTTTGAGGGGTCTGGGGGTGACAGGACATGATGGATCGAGGATGCGCGAATGCGGTGATGTCGGACCGGGCGGGTAGGTGTGGGAAAACCTTGGCGCGGAGGTCGCTTTTGGTTTCGTGGCGACCCGGAGAACAAAGAACGCCCGACTTGAGAGGTCGCTCGACGACTGTGCGGCAAAGAAGTCGGTGGTCGTATCGGGGAACCGATTGTATTCGCGGCGCTCGAATGAACGATGCGCGCGGGAGGAGGTAAGGAGGTTGTGGTCGTGACGAGTCGCGCGAAAACGGCGATGGCGGCAATCACCGAACCTCCAATCCACCAACGCTCCTCCTGCAGGTCGGCGGGCGTCAGAAAATCGAATCCAGAGGTTACTACGAGCCAACGGAGCGGTCTCTAGATCGCTGAATCGATATCGGAGCGGATCGCAGGCCTCGTGGGGGCGCTGGGCGATAGAAATCGGTTGAGCGGTAGGAGGGTTTGGCGATGATGAGCGAGGTGAACAGGCGAGAGAGGAGGCGCTCATTCTTCCTGCTGGGTCCCAGGGAAAAGGTGGGTCCGCTCGCCCAGCCCGCCCGGGCCCTCCTCCCTTCCCCCCCAGGGCCGCACCCATGCCCGAGAAACTTTCCTCGCGTGACAGCCAATCGGGTTTAAGCAGCCACTTCGGTCACTCTGCTCCCCAACATTGACGGGTCGGCGTGCTCCGAGCACGAGTTGCCCGGAAAAGATGGCTTAAGGCCTTTGATCTGCTGGAGAGGAGACAATAGACCTTCAATTCAATCAGCATTCTGTGTTATTCTGATTTATTATGCCCTGGCCAATTGATATCGAATTGGTCATGCTGGAGGAGGAAGCCAACCTGGTCCAAGTCATTGGGGGTCGCTCATTTCGTCTCACCGGCCGCTGTCACCGTTCTTTCGACCCCCCAGACGTCAACAGGGCCCAGGCAACAGGGTGAACTGTGGGGCTTGCCTCAAGCCCGAAACCCGGCTTTCCAAGTTGCTGGGCTGGATCGATCTCGGGATCATGACATTTGCTGCGGGAGTTGGGAAGAAGTATTTCTTTCACTCGGTATTGAGGTTACGAATACTGTGTAATGTTTCAACAAACATCTATTTTTCTTCCTTCTTTGACGAATTAATAGTACTCGTTTGTCTAACAAAAGAGGTTTGGCGAGGGCTGACACGAGACAGCCAGTCTCGGTTGTTACAAACTCCTCGTGGGGCTCCGAAAATTATAGTCAAAAGGCGACGCAAGTTAACCCAGTATCCGTCCATAATACGAAGATTGCCGTGTCCTCAGCCACACGTTTGACACGTTGTGCAGCCGAATGACCTCGGTCGCCTGACTCATCGGGCAACCGCTGTCGCCAGCCCAATCTCTCATCACTTCCACCACCAACGGCAGTGATAACCCTGCGCTAGCGTGTCCTCATCAGCTTTGGTTGTCGATCGAAAGAACCCAGCGTCGATTTCGAAAGTGTCGTATCCGTCGCACCCGTCGCATTCGCAGCCAATCCAGCCCGTCCACCCATCCAAACCCATCCATCCACCAATCCTCCTCTTGTTCCAAGCCCATCCTTCCTTGCCACGCTCGACAAGCAAACGTTGGCAATGAAAGACAGAAAATAGATCTCTTGGCGAGAAGTAATTTTTTTTCCAAAAATTCCCCAGCCAGCCGAAGCCAACTGAGAGCGGTCAGGTATGTAGTTTTCAACTAGCAAAAACGTGATCTCGGACGAATCCTCACTGATACACGTAAAACCCCTGCACTTGGATGGGGAAAAGAAGAAGAGAAGAGGAGCAAGATTCTGGGGCGAGCACGAGATTTTTATAGACAAGATTGGTGGCCTGTGCACCATTTGCAGCCTAGAAGTGGGGCTTTGTCGTGAGGCAACGAGCCTGGCGGGCAGTGGCGCTCCACCGATCAACTAGCAAGTGTTCCGCACATGAGGTACACACCACCTGATTCACACTTTCCGTCGCATGCAACGCTCAGAATGGAAGGCCCGGACGGACTTGAGGGGGGAAGCTGCTTCACTCTTTGAACACGTTCGATGGTTGCACCACCTGACGCTGGCAATCTGAAACGGCCAAATTATGGGTCGCCAGTCTGCCAGGCCCGTGTCTCAATTCATTTACCACTCTGAGATGAAACAAGACCAAGAGCAACACCGGAAGTTGAGAGGGCTGCAAGACATGAATGTTATATTTTACAGTTGCTGTACAAAGCAAACGACCTTACTAGGCCAAGGGCCAGCGAAGGCTTATAGTACAGTGTGTAAATCACCATTCGAGGTAACTGACCCTTCCTCACCGGACCAATACTTGTCCCAGGGTAGGTTTGGCGCTCAGCCCCTTGACCGCGACACGCGAGATAAGATCGCTCGAGTGCTCCTTGATCATTTCCCTCAGCGCCGTCCGCTCAATGACAATCCTGCCCGTCTCCAGGAGATCCTTGACGTCGACATCCTCCAACTCTAGCGCGCGGCCGTTCTCCCCCGCAATATCCAAGCCCGTGAACAGGTTGGGCCGCCTGTCGCCCGTGATGAAGGTTGTCCGGCCGTTGTCCTTGTCCCACTGCAGCGCGGTCATGAGCTCGCCCACGTACTTGCTGATGAAGCTGTCCTCGAGCTCGCGGCCCATGGCGCCCGACTCGGCCAGCTGGAGGAACTCCTCGGGCAGCGGCAGCTCCAGTCCGTCCTCGGTCACGATCAGCTCGCCGCGCCGGTACCGGTACGAGAGGGCCGTGCGCCACGCCAGGTCGTACACCTTGCGGTTGAGCTTGGTGCTGAAGTCGCGCGGCTTGGGGCCGAACGTCTTGCCACCGCCCTTCATCAGCGGGGACTGTTTGATGCCCACACGGGCGCGGCCGGAGCCTTTTTGAGGGCGGAGCTTGCGATGCGAACCATGTACTTCGAAGCGGGTTTTTGACGAGGCCGTGCCCTGGCGTGTCTTGTCGCCTTCGTAAACGACGGCCAAGTGGAGGATATCGCGGCGCAGGGGGAGGTGAAGGTGTTTGGTGGACCAAGATTCGAGCGAGCGCGGTTCGAGTGTAGGAAAGGCGTGGATGGTAACAGGGACGGTGGTGACTGTAGAAGCCGGTTAGTAGATATACTAGACGGGAAATCAGCACATGAGCTGCTGGGTCGATGCACGTACGGGGATTCCACGCCTCGGAGACGGATCGTGTGATGTTCGTAGGCTTCGTTTCGACCGCGGTTGCCATTGACCTCCTACACGCCGCATAAACTTGCTGACTCTGGTGTAGACGCCAAATGTCAGCTAGTTGAGCACAAAATCGCATCGAACAGAAGACGAACCGGCAGGGCCCTGCATGGTTGTGCTGCAAGACTCAGACCCCTCATGGCCTCGCTGAGGCTCTTCATCCCCTTGCCGGCCATGGCCGCGGTGCGTCCCACAGTGATGGCGACGGGTCCTGTGATGTATAGGGGCTGTCCTCGAGACTGCCGGAGATATTCGTCGATTTTCGCTCACAAAATCACCATTCCCATCCGCGAAGCAGCCCACCACTATCGTTACTGATGTTCCGCGAAAAAAGATCTGGAGCCGCAGCGCACAGACTCCCCGAGTCGCGGAGCTTACCGACCCCTGCACCCCGCGGGCCTGCGCACGGGTCCCACGAATTTTTGTCGGCGGGCAGCAGCGAGACTCCGGCTCTGGTCTTCAATTGAGAGCGTCCCGCTCCAATTTTCCAACGCCAATTCCCTCCACCCGCCGCCATGTCGAGGCCTCAACTGGTTGCACGGCCGATAGTGCGGTCGTTGCGGCAAGCAACCGGCAGCACAGCGGCAACATGTCCGTCACGACCACTTGCCCTCCGCCCGTTCTCGTCAACACCGAGCCGAAAAGATGAGACGACAACCACCACCGGCACACCGACGGAGCCCAGCCCCGATGCGCAGAAGCTCGCCGCTGAAGCAGCACTTCTAGGCCAAAAGAAGCCGCCGCCATACCCCTCGATGATCAAGCAGGGCACCGAGGACCAGCTGGCCCAGCTCATGTCCCCCCACCTTGGTTCGAGGAGGAGACGTGCTGCCCTCGCCACGACAGGCACCATCCCCTTCGAGCAACTACCCTACCAATGTTTCCAGGAGGCGCGCAAGATCCTAGCTCAGGACCGTGAAGAAAAGGTGGCCAAGATTGTTGCCGAGACAGCAAAGATCAAGCGACTGGAAGCGGCCGATGCTAGCACCTTCCGAGGCGGGGAGGCCTACAAGCAAAAGCGGTTAGAAAGTCTGAGGGCTCATGTTGAGAAGCTCAAGATTCTAGCGGATATCAACGATCCGCTAGTGAAGAGGCGCTTCGAGGACGGCCAGGGTACGTCTGTTGTTGTTCGAGCATTTCATCGGCTCCGCTAACCTTAAAACAGGCGACATGAACAAGCCCATCTACCGGTACCTTGCCCACCGTAAATGGAGCGGCATGGAACGCAATATCATCTTGCAGCGTATCGAACAGTTTCACATCGTGCCCGATCTCCTCCCCAAATTCCAGCCGACCATGGATGTCAAGATGACCTTCCGCGGCTACAAGACACCTCCCGGTGCCACCCTGAACAGCCGCATCACGGAGATCCCCCCGACACTGCGCATGCAAGTTTTCGAGAAGGGCGAACGCCTATTTTCTGTCGTGGTCCTAGATGCCGACGTACCAGATGCCGAGACCGATTCGTTCAAGAAGCGCCTGCACTTCCTGGCCACCAACATCCCCTGGAGCCCAACCAGGGACTCCCTCTTCCTGAACCGGCTCGGCACCGCGGCCGCGGCTTCCCAGCCCGAGCTCGGCACGCTCGCCGTCCCCTGGCTGCCGCCGTTCGCGCAAAAGGGCGCCCCATACCACCGCCTGACCGTCTTCATCTTGGAGCACAAGGACAACTTGCCGCTCGACGCGGCCAAGCTCAAGGAGATGTACGACGGCCAGGGGCGCGACGGGTTCAGTCTCAAGAGCTTCCGCGACAAGTTCAGCGTGACCCCCGTCGGGTTCACCATGTTCCGGTCCGAGTGGGACGAGAACACGGCCGACGTCATGGCGCGCCACGGCATCCCCGGCGCCGACGTCGAGTTCAAGCGCCAGCGCGTCATGTCGCTCAAGCCGCCCCGCAAGGCCCGCGGCTGGGAAGCCAGGCGCCAGGGCCCCAAGTACCGCCACCTTTGGAAGTACACCAAGCGGATCAAGGGCGTCAAGTTCTAGAAGAAGAACCGAAGGGGTCTGTGATCCGTGGTGGCGCGGCGATAGAGGCGTTGTGTACTTGTATCATATTACTACTGTACCAGCTACGTATAAAATGTATTGGATCCGGGCTATATCCGGGCTTTGGAAGATTCATTCCAGTGGACGGTGTTGAGTGAGTATCAACAGCCAAGTTAGAACATTTTATTTGCCATTAAGCAGGGCAGCAAACTGCATTGCCCTCTTTGTGTTGCTACTATACAATCCATACACGGCTAGACATGTCGTATCCTACACCTAATTATCTGCTTGCCTGCTAAGCCAACTCCCTACCCAACACGCCCTACCTCGGGGGGCGATGCTCGTTTGAATCCGCAGACGTCGTCCCGCCAAGGCCCTTGATTACCATCCTCTCCTTTGTCAAACGGGCTCCACGCTTCCATCACCACGCCTACCTCCCAACAGAGCACCCGACCTAGACCCAGACCTAAGTTTAAATTCAGCACCATCACCATCCCCATTCTCAACCCCCACAATCCCACCCCCATCCCCCAAAACCATCATCCCCTCCTCCCCCTCCCCCTCCCCCTCCTCACCACCACCACCCCGGCCCTCCAACACCTCCACCCTCCGCTCAGCTCGCTCCGCCCTGCCCCTCCACATGACACATTCCTGCTCCACATGGCACAATCGCGCTTTCACAACAGCCAAGTCGGCAGCCAGGTCGACGGCGGCGGCGGTACCAGCCCAGAGACCGGGGCGAGGAGGATTATGGTCAGAGTCGGACTCGTGCTCATGCGCGTGCGCGTGCGCGAGGCGGTGGTCGGTTGGGGGTATCGGATTGGGTTCAATGGCGGTGGCATGCGTGGTGGTGATGGTGGTGGTGCTGGGGCTTGTGGGGTGGAAGAGTAGCCTGCGGCTAGGGTTGGGGCTGGAGGCGGAGGTGGGAGTGGAAATTTCCTGCGCTGGGGTGCTTGTCGAGCTTTTTGACGCGGTTCGGTGCCGTTGCTCGGGGGTGGGGAGTAAGGGGAAGCGGCGGGTGGTGGAGGCTGGGCTGGGATCGCCTTCCTCTGCTGAGGGTGGATGGTGGTCTGTGAGCCGGTCGTTGATGGGCTTGAGCCGGGGGCTTGGGGTTGGGGTCGTCTGGTTTAGCTGCGGCTCGGGGAGAGGGGCGGATATGACGACGCTGGGCTGTTGTCGGTGGACGCGTTGCACGGTCTCAGGTGTCATCGAAACGAGAGACTCGCTCACCTCTGCGGAAGGCCCCGTGGTTAAGCCTGGAGATACGGAACTCAACTGCTTTGGTGTCCTTGCTCGTCCGGGCGGCCGTGGTCCGCGATTTCTCGACGGGATAGGTATGTTAGACCTGGAGACTTCTCCCCGTCCCAATACCCGTGAACGCCGGTCTCTGCCTGTTGACGCCCACGCGTGCCGATTGATTATGACTGGGTCTATCGGCCTCGGCGACTTAGTGGGTGACGGGGGGTTGACCGTGTAGGGCGAAATCATGCCGCTCGATCTAGAGTCGACTTGGTGGATGATATTTTCTGTGGAAGGGGGGAGCGAGTTCAGGTCCTTGGCGGCGCTCTCAAACATAGCCGCCATGGCCTTGACCGCCTTGCCATCCAGCTTTGTCGGCCTCGGTTGGGGGACAGTAGCTATCAATGGCCGGCCCGGGTCTGGTCTGGGACCGAGAGGAAAGGAGCGGCGAGTTCCCGAGTGGAACGTCTTCTTGTCCCCGTCCCTTGACGAGTCTTCTTGCAAAATCCCTGTGCCATGCCGTAAATTCTCTTCTTCGAGCGAGTGGATTTGTGTCACAGTGTTGCCGGAAAGGGCTCGTAATGGAGTATTGTCAACGTGATCTTTCGAGAAGCCGCCGTGTCCTTGTATGGAATCTCCCTGATGCCTGGTTGTTGGAGATGATTTTGATTCCGTCTTCCGTTGGTTCAATAAAAGGTCCCTTGAGCTCTCCGACCCAGTTCGCTCCCCGCTGGCCTTTCTTGGATGCGAGTGAGTAGGCACAGGGCTTCCGGGCCCCGTAGACACAAGAGACTTGCGTTTCGATCTCCATGCTGCCAGCCGTGAACGCCCGAGCCCAAATACGTCCACCCTAGACTTGTCTCCATGTACATCTTCATTGTCAAGCGACGTCCTAAGTGTTGACCGTAGTGTATTCTGTGATACTTTCTCTTCCAATGTCTTCTTGGTTCTTATCTCCTCCTTCTGGGAACCACGATCGGCATCTGATGCTGCGCCATCCTTCAATGGGTTCCTTTTGAACGGATTCGCCCCCCTCGAAGTCGCTCTGAGTCGATTCTCAACATTTTGCCACCTGTGCAGTATACCAGGAGTATTTGGGGATCCTTCTCCGACTGCCAGGCGGGAGGCGTGGCCTCTCTCTTTAGAATTTGATTCGGCCCAATGCGTTGCCGGAGACGGTCTGACGAACCCTTGAAACCCTTCTGACTTCCGGTTCGGGGTTTTCGGCGTCTCACGCAAATTCTCTGTAATTGGGGCGGAATGATTTGCTTGAGGGTGATGACTTTGCCGGCTGTCAGCACCGTCAAGGCCCTTAAGCCTCGAGTGTTCGGCCGGAGACGGCTCTTCCATAGGAGGCGATAACAACGATGCCTCGACACCTGCGAGACTGTTGGACAAGGGCCGCATACTCCTGGGTCGTCGGCGGGGAAGGATAATGGGCGGGCGTAGGTTCTCGTGTGCACCCCTTACTTACCATGGAGTTAGCTTTTTCAACGCTTCTCGGGCGAGTGGACTTACTAAATTCGGGAGGGGTAGGGCTAGGAGGAACCAGTGACTCGCCAGGCCTGAAGAGATCGGAATCAGTGTGCGGCATTTTCAAAGCGAACCCTTCCGAGACAGAAGGCCGTAGTCCGGCCCTCAGTTGTGGTCCATCTCGGTCCGCTTTCGACTCTCCAAGGCTCCTCATGTGCCTGACGACCTCCCGCCAGTGTGTGATGAGCATTTCGGTGATGTTGTTTGCCATGTAAACCTTGTCGACCGCCAAGGACGGTGGTTGAACATCCTCCATGACCTTGGATCCTCGCCTTTGTTTCCTACCATTAGGGGGTGTAGCCGAAAATAGCGCCGGCCCGGGAGTGGTGTCGACAGCCTGTATAGTGTACGAATTAAGAATATCCCCAACGAGCAGCGGGCCGAAGACTATCCCCAGGGCGTTGTATCCCATTAGGTCAGAGGTGGGCAGCGGTCTCCCATGCTCGTCCTCTCGCGGGGCCTTCTCAGCGGCACGTCCGATCAGGCAGAGCAGACCAAATACGGCGCATATTAAATCGCGGCGGAGCCGAGACTTGACGGTGCCGATAGCCAGGGCTATGAGTCTCGCCCTCAATTTGGTCTGCTTCGTCTTGAGAAACTCCGGTCCCCCTTTCAACTCGCTGTGGATGGCAACCAATGCATCGAAGAGAGACAGAGACCCCAAGATTCCTCCGGGTAAACCAGACAGGAGGCGCTTAAAAGTCGAAGCGACGTCGTGTGGCCCGGTTTTGATGTGCGTTGGCAAATTGGGACAGCTAATGGTATTGGAGATGTCGTCCGGATCACCGTCGGCGCAGTAGTGGGCATAGAGCGCATTGACTATACGAACCGAACCAGGTATTCGAAACACACCTCGTGTTTCTGCGCCTGTAGTCGTGTCAGCACACCACCAAAGGGTCCAAGGCCAGTGGCCGCGCTGTGCCTACCATGCTGTATGAGGTATTGGGCAGTGGCTCGGAAACACGTGGGGAGCACGAGGGAACAGGGTGAGTATTCCGAAGGCAGGTACAGTTTACTCTTGCCACAGAGGCGGACAAGAGACTGAAGATCCTCGTCCTGGAGACCGTCCTTCTTTGTCCCGTTCACGACACGTAGCGCCAAGTCGCTGATGCTGCGCTTGGTCTTGATTTTCTTCTCGGATTTCGTGGAGCTGCCATCGCTGGCTGTCGAAGGCTGGCGCAGGAATGTGCGCGAGAACCAACCTGGTCGCTGTTGTAATGGGGATTGTCCTGGCTATTCGGGGTTTAGTAAGTCTTCCACTGGGTGGGCCTCGGGGTACCTATGACGGAGAACTGACCAGCGATGGATTATTCGTATTTGATGCCAACATACGAATGCCATGCTACAATAGTCAGTTGGCGTTTATGCCGAGGCGAGAACTAGGAAAATATTGGGTCGAACCTTCTTTGCGACCCGATTATACTCCTGCACAAACTCATCTCGGATTTCGAGGTCGTCGGCATCGGAGAGGTCAGCAAAATCCCCGCTGGACGAGGTCCAAGTCGCGCTGCTTGGATTCGCGCGCCTCTCGTGGATTGGAACAGCGAACTGGCCGGCCGCGGTAGGGAGAGGAAGCCGAGCCCAAGTCGGTTCAGCATGGCGGGGTGGTTGTTTCGGGACAGGGAATGCGTCCCAGCCGGCTGATGGTGTGTCGACCGAGTGCGCAGATGCGGCATCCATTTCTTGACTCGGTATTCTTGTCGTATTAAGCAAGATGGTTGTTTTGTGTCGATGCGCGAGTGGTCGGTCGCCGGGGCAAATGCGCCGCAACGAGAAAGGTTGAGTCTAATATCGTAAGATATGTTCATCGGCCATGGCCCGAACAGCAACAAACGGGTTGTGATGGTCTCAGAACGGGAGCTGTGGTCGGCTTTGGCTGCTGCTTCCCGTCTCGCATGCCTGGGTGGCTCGTACAGACCAGACCAGACCAGGCCGTGCCCGGTTCCTTCCCTTGAACACAGCAAAACAAAAGAGATTAGAATCGAGTGAGGATCCGAGGCATGGTGCTGAAATCAATTGGGGCCATTCGTGGTCACCATTTTTTTTTTTTGGGTGTAGGTCGGGTCGTTGGCTACCCAGTGTACCCAGTGTTCACAATTATGCAGTCGCGGGAGTTTGTGTCGCATCTTTGAGAGGACAAGAAAACAGATCTATACCTTGGGTAAAGGAGAACACATGCAGCCATGGTATCCGTTATCCACATCCCACCTTGACGCCACGCAAATGCAAAAAAAAAATCAACGGTAGAAAAAATAAATACCGGGAAGGGAGACGGCCCGCCGCCAGCCAGAACAGCCGACTTACGGCAGCCGGACATCCCGTTGGAAAGTACCATACTAACCAGCCCGGATATTGTCCTCCTCCTCGCCAAATAGTAGGACGTGCTTGAGGATGTCCGAGAGCGAAATGATACCCTTGAGCCGGCTATCATCATCGACTACGATGAGCCTGTGAACCCTCGACTTGCGGATAGTTTCAAAAATAGCATCCAAGCGGTCGTCCTCGTTGCATGTGTAGATGCCGGGGAAGTCATCGGCGCGCTTGCAAAGGGCCTCGCCGACTGATGCCGTCAGCTCGTCGTAAGCCCCGCCCTTGATGCAGGGAATGACATCGACCGCCTCAAATACGTTCAGAACCTTGTTGTCCTTATCGAGAATCGGCACCGCCGAGATGTTGTGCTTGACCATCAAGTGGATGACGTCCAGGACGGAGCTGTTCATGTCCGCCGTTGCTAGGTTGGTGTAGGTGCCGAGCCCTAGCTCCCGCACCGACTTCTTGAGCAATATCGTGTGCTTCTCGTTGTTGACGGCGATGAACTTGAGAATGCGGTACTGCGTAATGACGCTGACTACCATCTCCCGGCCCGTCTCTTCGTCGACGTCGACCAAGGGGATCCTCCTGGCCCTCGTCTTCAGCATGCGACGGCACGCCTCGTACAAGGGGCGCATCGGATGGACCGACACCGTCTCAAGAGGTAGGACGCCAATTGCTCGCTCGATATCTACCGGGGATACTTTTTAGCCTCTCCATGTCCATTTCTGCTGATGACGGCGACCTACCTCGAAGGCTACTGAGGCGAAACTTGTCGACCTGATCGATCTCATCGGGAAACTGGCAGTAGTATTGGATCACATTGATGTAGTCCGTACTCGTCAGCAAGCCGGCGAAGCTCGACTTGTTCGAATCCCATAACGGCGCCGAGACGATGCCTGCGCATTACCCAGTCAGTATCTCGGCCTGGGGCTAACCGGGGCGGAGGATGAAGGTGGCGTACCATTTTGGATGAGAATGTTCAGGCTCTTTCGGATGAGGAGCTCGTTGTCTAGCACGACGAGACGGAAAGATAATGGGAGCACATCGTAGCTCGTCCGGACTTTTAAGAATTCACGGATCCCTCGCTAAATGAGGTGCGTGTTAGCTGGGGACGCCAACTCTACCACGATGGAAGCCCAGAACCCCGCATCGCAGCGTCTGTTGCTGGGAAAGCCGACGATGCGGGGACATAGCGGGCCGGCGGCGGTTGTCTCAGGACGGGCATGCTCACCAAGCCTTGCATCTGCTCCTTGTCCAGGGCGCTTGGAGTCTTCTCCGACATGGTGCGACTGGGGAGCCTCGGGCGGAGGTACGACGAGGGCGCGACAAAGGGGAGCTCGTGACCGGGACGCGGGGGCAGCTGACTGCCATTTTCCCCGTCGGTAGTTGTGGTGGGAGCGAGGGCGGGCGGAGCGCTGCGGGAGCTGGGATGTGCCGCGTTGGGGGGAGCACGAGGGTCGTCCATCATTATCGTGATGGTGGAACACGCATCGGGGAAGTTCCCCTCCAGTTTGGGTCGGCTTATTGGGGCTACCTCGGGCTAAAACGTCGAGCGGACCAAGGACCAAGGACCGGAGACCGGAAAAGACCCAACAAATGAACTTGGCAGATGCTAGAATTTGGCGCGAGAGAAAAGGGTTTGCGATGGCAATCGGCTGCCTTTATGTTTCTCTACTGTTTATATGCTTCGGGACCAATGCCTCTGCAATGCGGCTTTGGGATGAGAAGGAGCATGGGGAATGACAGTGACGGGAGTTGCTGTGTCAAAAAGACCCTTGGATCTGAAGTTCTCCGCTTTTATCTGTGAGGAACCCGAATGGTGGGCTGAAGCCGCCCTGTAAGGGCTGCATTTGACGGGCAGGTGTGTGACCTGAAAGTCATTTGAGTGGCTGGCGCCAACCCCTCTCGTTCTTTCTTTGGTGAGTTTGCTAGTGGTCAACTCATTACTTCAACACTAAATAGGTATGTCAGCTTTTTCAAGGCGATGTGGTATGCATCCCATACCTAATCGTAGTTCTAATCTGCCTCCCAAGTCCGGGGAGTTGTGAGATTTGGAGAACCGGTGCGGGGAAGACAGGCGCCCCGCCACACCATCACATGGATCTCACTCAATAAGAACCGTTGTTAAGCTCAACTCCCATCCCTTACACATGGTTACTGTAAATTCCGAAAGGCGAGTCCTCCTTAAATGAATTCGATGTCTCCGGTAGCAAGGACAATGATGCTCCTGATATGTTAGCCCATCAGAACAAGAAGGCCAAGGCTGTGGAAGCGTTTTAATCGAGCACCACGCAGAGGGAAGACTAGGTTAAAACCACCTAAGAAATGGTGCACGCACAGCCATGTGTGCCCAAGGTACCTGAGAGAAGGTGCCTTAATGATGAATGTTTTGTCAACTGCGGCTAAGTGACTGTAGGTTGAAAAAAAATGAGATGTGAAATCAAGATGTTCCCTTTCGTTTCCCATCCACGTAGGTATAAGATAGCCACTATATGTTTTCTTTTCTTTGACAGAGCAACAAATTGCACTTTAGCGGAATGTACTTGTATGCACCCAAGGCAAACAGGTAAAAGTCAGCGGCTGCCTTGTACGAATAAATAAGAACAAGACGGTGCCAGACTGGTCGCTAGTAAATCACCATAAGTGGTCGACTCAGGGATATCCTTGAGCCAATGCAGGTCGATAACCAGTCTGTCTCTTATAATCTTTTGGCTGTGGTGCACAGCTGCTAAGTTACCCATTAACTGTTGGATGTTATCAAGCGTGGCTTGGCCCAGCGTGATGAATGGTGTTTCTGACAAGGCCTCGGTACCTTGGCCCGTGCCCCTGTAGGTAAGCGAGGTCGGGTCCCACTGACGCACGGCCGTGAATTTAGAGCCGGCTGCCGGGCGAACAAGGCAAGGCAGCTTCGATCATTGCTTGAATGGGGCCGGGCTTGGTTGTTGCATCTCCTTCGATGCAGCTGACCCGCCAAAACAACCACACACCCGACCGACCGCCAGTGTTTGCCAGCGCAGCACGACCATCGCGATCGGGCACAAAGAAGGCACACCTCATCTGCGAGTGCTTCTTTGATATAGTTTTCAACGATTCAAAGCCTTCTTGAACCGTGTGCCTATTGTGACGACCCGCGGACCGCTTGCCGCCGTCCTCCGATTCACGAAACATTACCAGACGAACCCGCATTCATTCGAACTAGACGACTCGAAACCGCCCACGCAATCAACCCACCACCACCTTGGGACTGTCGGCGTACCCACATAAGCCGCAATGGGCATCTGCAGCTCCTCGTGCTGTGGAGGTACAACCGCGATCTTGCCGCCTTAAATCACACCGACACTAACAGGTTTAGGCAAATCCCGCGATGCCCTCTACGAGAATGTGCTCGCTGAAAACGAGCGAGAGGCCGTTGCCGACTTGTTACAATATCTCGAAAATGTTAGAACAGCCGTGCTAGCCTACACCTGACAAACACGAACTGACCTGACCTACTTGTAGCGCGCCGAGACTGATTTCTTTTCGGGCGAACCCCTCCGAGCTCTAAGCACCCTTGTCTATTCCGATAACATCGATCTTCAACGGAGCGCAAGTCTGACCTTCGCTGAGATTACCGAGAGAGGTGCGTGTGAATTGTTGGGCTGAGAAGTCGGCTTAGCGACCTAGACCGACCTCTGCACAGATTATGCTAACCCGGGTGGTTACATCAGATGTCCGAGCTGTTGATCGGGACACCCTCGGGCCTATCCTCTTTCTCCTTGAGAACTCCGACATTGAAGTGCAACGGGCTGCTAGTGCTGCGTTGGGCAACCTTGCCGTTAACAGTAGGTCGCCTCGTAAAGGATACACCTGCAGCTGCAGTCACGGCTTGTAGAAAGACTGCTAACCCAAACTCAGCCGACAACAAGGTCCTGATTGTCCAACTCGGCGGACTCCAACCGCTTATCAAGCAAATGATGTCGCCAAATGTCGAGGTCCAGTGCAATGCTGTTGGTTGTATCACCAACCTCGCTACGCACGAGGAGAACAAGGCCAAGATTGCAAGGTCTGGCGCTCTGGGCCCCCTCACTAGGCTGGCCAAGTCCAAGGACATGAGAGTACAGAGGAATGCCACTGGCGCGCTTCTCAATATGACACATTCTGGTAAGTTGCGCATCCTAAACTGTGACAGCCTGCGACTAATACTTTGTAGACGAGAACCGGCAGCAGCTCGTGAATGCCGGTGCTATCCCTGTCCTCGTCCAGCTTTTGTCATCCTCGGATGTTGATGTGCAATACTATTGCACGACGGCCCTGAGCAACATTGCTGTCGATGCTAACAACCGACGGAAACTCGCCGAGACTGAGCAACGGCTTGTCCAGTACCTCGTTAACCTGACAGAATCCTCATCGCCCAAGGTCCAGTGCCAGGCGGCCTTGGCGCTCCGGAATCTTGCGTCGGACGAGAAGTATCAGCTTGAGATTGTCCAGGCCCACGGGCTCGGGCCACTGCTCCGCCTTCTTCGGTCTTCGTATCTTCCGCTTATCCTGTCTGCCGTCGCTTGCATCCGTAATATCTCAATTCACCCCCAGAACGAATCGCCGATTATCGAGGCCGGCTTCCTCAAGCCGCTGGTCGACCTGCTCGGATCGACAGATAACGAGGAGATCCAGTGTCACGCCATCTCGACACTTCGTAACCTAGCGGCGAGCTCGGACCGGAACAAGTCCCTTGTCCTCGAGGCGGGCGCCGTCCAGAAGTGCAAGCAGCTCGTTTTGGAAGTTCCCGTCACGGTCCAGTCCGAAATGACAGCCGCCATTGCCGTTCTTGCGCTGAGCGACGAGCTCAAGACCCATCTCCTAGAGCTTGGTGTCTTTGACGTTCTGATCCCACTAACCATGTCTCCGAGCGTTGAGGTACAGGGTAACAGTGCCGCTGCGCTAGGCAACCTTTCTTCCAAAGGTCAGTTTCACAAACTTGGTTGCTCAATAATTCATACTAACAGAAATACAGTGGGCGACTACAGCATCTTTGTCCAAAACTGGATGGAGCCAAGAGACGGCATCCACGGTTATCTCAACCGGTTCCTTGCGAGCGGAGATGCCACCTTTCAACACATTGCGATCTGGACGTTGCTCCAGCTGCTCGAGTCAGAGGACAAAAAGCTCATCGGTCTCATCGGGAAATCAGATGGCGTTGTTGACATGATTAAGCAAATTGCCAACCGCCAGATGATGGAGTCGGACAACGAGGCCGAGGACGACGATGAAGGCGAGGTGGTCAACCTGGCCCAGCGGTGCCTGGAGCTGTTGGGTCAGGGTGGGTCGAAGAGCCACATTGAAGGTTGATAATAGCCCCCTCGTTCATGGGGCATGGGGTCTGTTTGCCCCTACGCCCGTATACCCGAAGGTTTCTCTTGTTTTCTATTTGTCCATTGCGCATTGGAACGGCGTGGAGTTGGCGGCGTCAGTATTGTCTACATACAAGGGGCGGAAGCGGGGGACTGTGGGAGATGTGTACACTGCAGATGAGCATTTGGGGGGATGTGTTGGGGGGTGTGGGGACAATTTGGGTTGTTGGGTCTTCCAGAGGGCCTCAGCCCTCCTTTGTTTTTTCTTTTGTATTATGGCGCAGAAGAGTGATACGGATGACGCCGGACAACCCGAGCTACTATCATACCCCGCGATTCCCGCGATGCCCCTTTACCCATTACCAACACGGCCGGCTTGAACTGTTATGCTAGGCTCGGCTAGTTGTAGCTGATGTAATTAGAACCCACAATTGATACATATACAAGATGGAACTTACATTGTCCATTTCGAGGTGCTGCTGGCGTTGACCAGACGTGTTATAATACATATATGGAGGACCTATCCGAAATCAAGCCTCGATTGGGTTGTTTGCTCTCTCCATTGAATTGGTAATCCACTTGAACTCGGAGAACGGCCTCATTGTGGCGATCACCTTGCCCCGTATCAGGGCCAGCGGCACAGGACCAAAACCCCTCGAGTCCCGGGACGCCACCAAATTATCCCCGACAATCCAGCAATGGCCCTTCGGCACCTAGATCGGCCAAGGTCAGCGCTCCGCCCTCTACACCACCCACACTCAACACCCCTCGGCCCAACACGGACGGACGAACGAACGAACGAACGAAGAAGGAAAAACGAACCTGAATCATACTCCCACCCCCACTCCCCGCACCACCACCACTACCCCCCTCATCCGCCGGCGTATCCATCAACACGTAATCCCCCGGCAAGCCCAGCACGCGCTTCACCCCGACCTCCTCGTTGATGGGGATGTTGTAGGCCACCACGTCGCCCACCGCCACCCCGCGCCCGAACCGGTGCACCTTGGACACCACCAGCCACTCCCCCAGCACCTCGAACGTCGGCAGCATCGATGGGCCCGATGCGGGCGCCATCGAGATCACGTACTCCCAGATTAGGTGCGTGAAGGCGACGAATTTGAGGGTGGTGAGGATCACGCGGGTGGGGTGCCCGAGCCAGGAGGGGAGGTGGTGGTTGGGGTTGGGGTTGTGGTTGTTGCTGCTGCTGTTGCTGGGGTTTGGCGGGGTGGTCGTGGTGGGGGATGAAGGTGGTGGTCGTCCTGATGGTGGTGGGGGTGGGGGTGGATGGGGGCCGGTTGGTTTGATGGCGGAGAGTCGGAACCTGGTTGGCCTGAGGAGACCTCGCAGGATGCGGGTTATGGAGGGCATTGGGTAGAGGCTTTCAGTGAGATCAGCGGGTCATGGTTGTGGTTTGTGAGTGAGGTTGATGAGAGGTGATGGAATGGTGCAATGACATGCCGCACCCGCAGATATTGCCAAGCTTCAAGCTTGCGGGAGTAGGGGTTTTTATTGGCTAGAATTTCCCGATCACAAGGGTTGCAACTTGTGGCGCAAGTTCCTCGGCGGACCGAAAAGTTGCAAAGCATTTGTTTCCTTCCAACCCAAATCCAAAGCACGACTCTTCACTCCCCGAGCTTGTTAGCCCACCATGAGGGCCTCACAATGTCTCTTCAACCCGGCTACGGCCCTTTGCAAACTCTTCATTAGCAATGCCGCAGCCTTGGAGAACCCGAGGCAACTGCAGCGCCTGCTGCTACCCAGCCGAACCGTCCCCATCCAGCTCTTTTCACCATCGTCACAACGTCATTTTTCCGTCTACCATGCCCGCATGTTGAACAGTTACCAGCTTCATAGGCGTGAGAAGATTGCAACGGAAAAGGCGGCTAGTCGTGGAACAATGCGCGACTACGACATCGTCTTCCCGTGGATCCAGTTACGACAACCAGACGGCAGTCTCTCCCCGCCGCAGCGAACGCACCTCGTGCTCAAGGATCTCAACCTGGAACTAGACACTCTCATACTTCTCGCTACCCCCAGGCCGGACGACTTGACTCCCGGTCCAGAATACCCAATCTGCCGTATCGCAGACCGCAAAGCCGAGTTGGCGGCGGAGGCTGAGAGGCTGGCGATGAGGAAAAGCACACCCAAGATTACCACCAAGAAGTTGGAGATCAACTGGGCGATCGCACCCCACGACCTACGCTTGAGAATGGCGCGGCTCAAAGAGTTCCTTGGCAAGGGTTTCCAGGTTCAGGTCACTCTGAGACACCCGAAATTGAGGAGAAAGAAGAGGGCGGACCATGATCAGTCAAAGGTGGTACTGAAGCAGGTTGAGTCAGTGGTCTCAGAAGTTCCTGGGGCCAAGGAGACCAAGCCTAGGGAGGGCACACTGGGGGAGATGTTGGTCCTGCTTCTACAGGTGCCACCTAGCAAACTTGGGAACGCACCGACAGAGACGGCGCCAGCAGCTACGGAGGAGGCCCCGGCAGAGGGAAAAGCAGAGGCAGAGACAACCCCAAGTCCGGTCCAGAGGCCGGTAGCAGAAGATATAAGGATGGCCTGATGCGGGACTCCTGTACAACAAAACATGTACGATATATTGATCTTCCTACATCTCGCAGTCTGGTATTCTCAAGCTTAAGAAGAGCCCATGCCTTGGAATGACACAAAACAACCTTTAATTTTTTGATCGGCGATTTAACAGGAGTCCGAGAGTTGAGAGTGATTGTGTCCGGGTCAGCGTCATACTCCAGGAAGGCCTTGACAATGTGGGATATCCCTTCAGCGAAGAACTTGCGGCAAGCCAGGGCGTCGCGCCCGCCACCGTGCTCAATGCTGGGGTCCGCTCCAGCTTCAAGAAAGTTTCTGACTGCGTCGACTAGGACACGCTCGCAGGCTACCCGGAGCGATAAGCCTAGGCTTGTGCGCTTCCACTGTTGTTGGTGCTCCTAGACCAGCTGCAGGTGAAGAAAACTTGGGATCCCCTCCACAGATTGTCCCTTAGATAAGCTGGTGGCCGTTTAGGGGTCTTCGTCGAAACAACCTGTTGACATGATCAACGACGGCTGCAACTGATATTTTTCGGGAACGACCCCATGTACCACTGGCCGAACAAAGCTCCTCAAAAAGTCTACAACTCGTCGATGTCCTCCGCAACGAACTCCGTGCTATAGGTGCAGGGTAGAATCAGGATCCGATCTGTCCGTGCTGGGCTGGGTTGACGAGGACCGTTGACCGAGTTGCGCCGTTCGTCTCGGAGATGAAGCTCCGGACGAGGTGTGTTGTCAGGGCTAGGGTTATGTATGATTATTTGTTTGCTTGTCAAATAAGGCAGTGCCAAGCCAAACAATCCAAAGAGGGCCAAATATTGTGAGTGAACCCCTTGGCACGCAGACCCTTTACGGGCGAGTCTAGATTCTCTCAGCCGCAGCTGAGGCTTGCTTGAATAGGCGCGATCCATGCGGCGTGCCTGACGACTCGCATCGAGACTCGTCCATAACTGGATTAGCAGCTCACTAGTTAGGCGTTTGCAGAGTAGTTCACAGACTAAGAATCCACACTTCGGGTTCCAGAGATGGCCAGAACCAAGGGATAGGGGTCACGCAAATCGATGGTTCTTATTCAAAGTAAGGCCCGTGATGGGTGTGTCTGCTCATGTCCCTCTCCTGCTGTCACTGCTCTACTCCGTCCCTTCTTCGACATTCCCGACGGAGCCCATCTACGTGACAGTTGTGCTTGAGTTGCCAAAGGACGTGTCGATAAGATGAGGTCAACTGCAAGGATGGCGATCTCCCTCGCCGTTTTCATGGCGAGCCCGGTACTGGCAAAATGCAAGTCGGTATGCCACGCCGACAAATGCGCTCGAGCCGTGACGGGCACCAAGCAGGGTCCGGTATTTACGTCCAAAGCGAAGAGCGACTGTTCAAGTTTCGTCGTGACGACTTCTTACGGTCATACCATGTATGACAGGCCTACAGACCTTTTAATGGTGGAGACAATCGCTAACAACAGACACAGTACCATCACGGCAGACACAACGGCAAGTGGTGATAAAACCATCCCAACATACGCATCCGCGTGTTCTAGCCCGGCAGGATATGCCAGTGCCTGCTCGTGCTATGGCATCACGAGCCATGTCGTGACGGAAACAGACAAGGTATAAATCAATCCACTTGAATTTGCTTGGGGCATTTTTAGCTGAACTTTGATTTCCGCAGACAACAACTGTTACAGTTACTTCGGTTCCTACCTCTGAGTCGTCAAGTAGCTCGTCATCATCCGAGTCGTCTACATCATCGCCGGAGTCTACATCGTTCACGTCTTCTGTCGAGTCCACATTCTCCACCGAGCCCACATCTACATCGTCTGCCGCCCCCGAACCAACCGGATGCACCGAGGGGTTGACAGCTTGTGGAACCACATGCCTCGATCTCAAGAATGACCCTGAGAACTGCGGCGGGTGTGGCGTGAAGGTATGTTGATGATTTTCATCCTCTCATCCCCTCCTTCCACCCGACCATCATTCCTATCGGCGTGACAACCCAATGTATCGGACTCAGTAACCGACCACAAACCCCCCCGACAGTGCGACTCCGGCATGTGCAGCAACGGCGCCTGCGCGACCAACTCCTGCACCGGGCAGACGTGCGACACCTTTACCGCCTGCGGGCCCGGCGGCTCGTGCGTGTGCGCCTCGGTCGCGGGCGGCACCGGCTTCTGCGCCGACGGCCAGACGCCCTGCGCCGGCCTGACCGACTGCACTACCAGCGCCGACTGCCCCGTGGGAAGCGTCTGCGCCGTCGGCACGTGCTGCTCCCGCAACGTGTGCATCGTCGCCGACACCTGCGGCACCTCGACCAGTCCCGCGCGGCTGTTCAGGCCTAGGGGCGCCTCTTTTGCGTCAGTGGGCCACCCGGCTGGGCATGTGGGGATTGTTTAATAGGTGGTGTGATGTGGTTGAATGTGGTGCTAGCACCAGGCCATGGTGGAGTATAGCGCTGTTGTAGACGGGAGTTCGGATAGAATAGCTGCACGTAGGTACTTTACCTTAATTAGAGCGATGTACTTTTGCGGATATTTGGGCTTGAGGACTGAAAAACCAGCTTCTGGCACGGGACTGCCCGGGGATACTATCGAGTCGACACCAATGCCAAGACGGGACTTGATCGATCGAGTCCGTGTTTGGGAGCCGGCAGCGGTCCGTGCACTTGATTGCTTGAGTGGAACCGCCCTGCATGATTGCGGGGCGCGGGGCAAGCTTGTGTGCGGCATGCTTTCGCTTTGTGACTCAATCCCCAATGCCAAAACTCCAGAAACCAAAAATCACTTCATTAGAAAGCAACACTGCACTGCATAATCTTGCTCAAAAGGAAGCACGGTCTTTGGAAAGTCACACGGACCTCGTCCCAGCGAGTTTCAAACATCACCCAAGCATCACGATTAGAACAACCGCTTTTTTCTGCGTCACTTCTACCCCTCGCGCCACTCTTCGAAGCATCCACCCTAAGTCAAAAAAGCACCGAGCACCAGTTACCCAAATTATGCCCTCCGAGACCAATGGAGTCCCTATCAATGGGGCTCCCAACAGCAATACAGTCCCAGCAACACAGGATGGAGCGAAAAATGCGCCAGCTGCCGACAATTCAGCTGCTACCCCCGCCAGCACGGAAAAGCTCACTGCAGCGCAGTTGAAAGCCAAGGCTAAGGCAGAAAAAGCAGCAAGGAGGGCACAAGTAAAAGAGGCTAGAGTCGCGGCGCCAACACCGTCCCCGATTCAAGAAAAAGGTGCCACGGCGGATGCGAAAGGAGGCAAGGGCAAAGGGCGGCAGGATGGGCAGCAATCCCAGGGCAAAGGGGGGCAGTTGCAGGTACCTCCAGCCACTGGGCGGCGGCCATCCTCTCCAGTGCTTGAGAAAGATGTCAGGAGTGGTGTCCCCGATTGCTTTAGTCATATTCCGATGTCGAAGCGGATACCGACATCTCAGGCTCACAAAGACGTACACCCCGCTGTGCTGGCAGTTGGCCAGCAGATGGCAACATTTGCCCTCAACGACAGTATCTCCCGTCTAAAGGCGACTCTTTTGGCATTTGCGAAGGTTTGTATTCATTTCCGTACTAGATTCCCATGAGACAGCCCGCTAATACAGACCAGGTCATCGAGTCGTACGAGACACCCAAAGGGAACTCGCTGTCTCGGCACTTTGTGCCACACGTCCTCAACCCCCAGATCGAGTACCTCACCGAGTGCAGGCCGATGTGCTTCGCTATGGGCAATGCTATCCGGCTGCTTAAGGGGAAGGTTAACAAATTCGATATTGATACGGCTGAGGACGAAGCGAAAGAGGGTCTCCTGGAATGGATCAACTTTCTGATCAAGGAGCGGATTACCCTGGCCGAGTACGCCATCGCTAGGAATGCCGCCGAGTCAATCAACGAAGGCGACACCATTCTTACATACGGCCGCCACCGGCTAGTTGAGAAGACCTTTATCGAAGCGAAGCGCGACGGCAAGTCGTTCGATGTTACCGTCATTGACGATCCGTTCGAGCGCACCGGTCAGGATCTAGCAAAGACCCTACGACAAGCCGGGATCCCGGTGCTTTACTCCCCCAATCTTGGCGGTCTCCGACCCAAGGTGGCGGCGGCCTCCAACGTCTTTCTCGGAGGCGAGGCCATCTTTGCCAACGGTTCGCTCCATGCATCATCAGGAACGGCCGACGTAGCCATGGCCGCCATGAATGCCGGCGTCAAGGTGATTGTTCTTTGCGAGACCATCAACTTTGACCGAGACCGTGTGTCGGTCGATTCGCTCACGTACAACGAGATCGACCCTGAGAGGAACACGGGGGATTGCTTCCGGTTGCTGTTTGACAACACCCATGACAAGTACATCACGGGCGTCATCACCGAGTTCGAGAGTGGTGGTGGCAACTCGCCGGCCCAAGCCATCCTGGCTCTGTTGAGGAAGCAAGAGGACCCTCTTATTGACTAAGAGTCAAAGAGTCTGGTTGAACGAGAGGAAGTTCGCGCGTAGTCTAGGTTACCAAGGCAGAGTAGCTAGATGGTTGAGGCCAGGTCGAGATTTAATTCTCAAGGATCTATCGAGACGCGCTAATTCTTCCAGCTCTGGGGTTCCGTCCCAGTAAGGTGGGGCAGAGAATCAAGGGAATCAAAAATAATTTTGTACACCGAATCTACCGCGCCGTCTGCAGAGCTTGCCCAATGTTCTAGATCCTGCCGTGCGGGAACTGGGGACCGTAGTCTTTCCACGCCCTCATCTCCATCAACCACCCAGCAGGAGTCACATCCTCCCCTAGCATCCCGTCCCACGGCCCTACAGCCAACCTCAGCCCATCCATCCATTCGTTCATTCTACCCATCCCACCCCATCACATCTCTCCTCACGCAACAACCTCAGTCGGCGCGGCCGCCGCAGCGCTGGCCGCCCGCTCCGCCCGCCGCGCCCGCTTCTCCAGGATGGCCTCCTTGCGCTCCTGCAGCATCTTGGTCTGCCGCTCGTCCACGCCCTGCAGCCAGTACCCAAAGCTCGCGCCCACGCCCCCAAACACCGGGTACGCCCACAGCGCCTTGCGGTTGAAGAAGGGCCGCATCTCGATGCCGAGTTGCCAGAAGCGGACGACGAAGCCTGTGGGGTGAAGAAGGTGGGAAGTTAGGGTTCTTTTCTGGGTTGTTCGGTTCCGTTGGGTTTGTTGGGGCTGTGTAGTGTGTGTGGGAGGGGGTTTGGTGTGGTGTAGTGTGGTGTGTGGTGTGTGGTGGGGGAGGGGACGTGGAGGGGGGGCGTTTATTTACCGAAGCCGGTCCAGAAGATGACTCTGCTAACCATCTTGTCTCGTGGTGGGTGATCGCTTGCGGTTTAGGATCTCGAAAGTGGTGGGGGGGTTTTGTCGGTGCCGCTAAGAGAGTGGAATTGGCGCCCGGGCGAGCTGTCGACACTGCACGGAGCTTCGTGATCTGACGTTGCGATGGTTTGCGGGCAATTGGCGGCAATTGGTCAGGTAGCTGCGTCGAACTGGCAAGCCACTTTTTGGGGGATCTGTGCGCTGCTGAGGCTTTGCTTTGGTGGTGGAGCTGTGGCTTAGTTAACTCGTTCACATTTTTGATGTGCAGAGTTGCATCGATGCCCCTGCTTAGCCAAGCCTTTAGCGTACCCCACCAAAATCTTTTGAGGCGGGTCTCTTCTCTTCAAACGCGGCAAGCACCATCAACCAGCCCGTTAAACGGCATGCCCCGACAACTAAGTCGTCAAACCCTCCTTTCGAGTTCGACATTCTTTTCTTTCCTGCATACCCAACGCTTTTGAAGCGATGCATTAAAATGATTTGAATAAGCTTATTATCCCCTCCACATCGCTGCTCGTGCTTCCCATGTCCTCGAACCGCGTCGCAACCAATAACTCTTCCCATGGTACATAAATCAACCGTGAGCTACGAAGTTCAACCCGACTTGCCATCATGTCTGCCGTCGTCGATTCCGCGGGCCCGGTTCCCTCGAACGAACCAGATGCAGTTACGCGTCCTATTCCCAAAAAGTTCAAGGCATCCGACCTGCCACTCCCTTCGGCAACGCGGACGGCTATTGAAGGTCTAGCGCACTCTTTCAAGAAGAAAGGCGGCTACGATTCCATTCGGAAACAAGTGTGGGAGAAGTTTGAGGCTAGTGTAGGTCTCCGCTAGAATCACAGTCGTTTTGTCGGTCACTGACGTTCAAGCAGGACTATGAAGCCCAGGTCACCAAAGCCATCCTCGAAGTCGCCGAGCAAGAAGTCGACCGCAATCCCACTCAACTGCTGACCCTCGAACGTGGGAAAGCGGCAGCACTTATCGATGGCGCACTCGATCGCGGCGGCGTCTACCAGAAGGCGGAAGAGGTCATTGGCGCGCTCATAGACAGCCGCGCCATTGAGGCTATCATCCGCAAGTTGCGCTGCGATGAGATTGGCGAAGATGCGGCTGAGGAGGAACGGATCCGTGGTTTGAAAACAGATGAAGAATACGCCGCCGAGACGGCAGCTCGCCGGGCTGAGAGAGAGCGCGTTCGGGCGGAGCTGAGGGCGGTAGAGGAGAAGAAGCGGCAACTCGAGCGGGAGATCAAAGCTAGAGAGGAGACGAAGAGACGAGAGGTCGAGAGGGCCGCCCGAGAAGAACGGAGGAAGAAGGAACGCGAGGAGGACGAACGGAGGGATAAGGAGCGTCGCGAACGACGCGAGAAGGAGAGGGAACGGGAGAGGGAACGGGAGAAGGAGCGGGAGAAGGAGCGGGAGAAGGAGCGGGAAAGCCGGAGAGACAGGGACCGGAGCCGCGACCGTGATAGGGAGCGCGACAGAGACCGTGATCGATTCCGCGAACGTGGCTACGATAGCTACCGAGGAACGCCGAGAGATCGATCAAGGGACAGAGATAGAGGCAGGGACAGGGATAGGGACAGAGATCGGGATCGGGGCCGACGGGACAGTCACGACAACAGACCGAAACTCGGGACCGAAGACCGAGGAGACGACACCGAGAAAACTCTCACCAAGGAGGACCACGATCGTCTAGAGCAGGAAGCTCTAGCCGACCTCCTCCGGGAAAGCAAGCGTGTTACGACGAAACAACCCGAATTGGAAATCGACGAAACTCTGGTGCCTCCCCCGAAGAAGGCCAAACCCGCATCCGCCATCGACCCAATCCAGCGGTCGACTCCTAAGGCTCCTGAACCGAAGCCAGTGGAGATTAAGAAGGCTACGGTAGAATCCAGAAAACCGGTAGAAGCTAAGGAGACCGGTAAATCAGCGGAGGCCAGAGACACAGAGCATGCGAGCGATACGAAACCATTAACTGCTCCCAAGGAGCCCGAAGCGAAACCCGAAAAGCGGAGGTCTAGGAGTCCGTCCCGCGCTTCTCGGGCTCATCACGGGAAGGAGAGAAGCCGGTCTAGGAATGACGACCGTAGGCGGAGGGATGCTCGGTCACGAACTCCACGACTCCGTGAGCGAAGCCGCTCGCGCAGAAGGAGCCGGTCGAGGCTAAGGGATAGGAGAGACGACCGCCGGGATGACCATCGCCGCAGCCGTCGTGATGATTCCCGTGCCACACGTCGGGATGATCGCAAAGATGACCGTAGGGATGAGCGGAAGAGTGAGCGTAAAGACCGCAGTGGATCTCGTCCAAGGGCCGAGAAGCGAGAGCGAAGTCGTTCCCGTCCGAGGACGGCGAGGACCGACGATAAGAGGGACAGAAGCCGCTCCCGCCGTCGTGACCCCCGCGATCGCAGTCGCTCTCCGCGCCAGAGAACCGAGCGCCGCGACCGGTCTCGCTCCCGCTTGCGTTTTGGCCGCCGAGACAGAAGCCGTTCTCGATCGAGGAACCGCGACCGCCGTGACAGACGGGAACGCAGTCGCTCGCGCGCTCGCACCGATCAGCGAGATCGCAGCCGTGACCGTGATCGCGACCGCGACCGTGACCAAACCCGGGAGAAGGATCGTGACAAGGACAAGGTCAAGGAAGAAGACAAGGAACGCCGTCCTAGGAGCCGCTCACGGTCGCCGCCGAGCGCAGTGCGCCCTCCTTCTCGCCTCAACCACACCGAGAAAGAGGCATGGAAACAGGCCGAGGTCAAGAAGCGTGAGCAAGAGGCCAAGGCCTATCTCGCTGCCCAGAAGGAGGCCAGGGAGAAGGGTATGCCGGTGCCTGGTATTGACGATCGTCGCGCCGGGGATAAGTCACCAGACCTGAAACGCCGGCGTGAACCTGAGGAACACGATCGCTACCTTCCCGGTGATCGTGACCGGGACCGGGATAGGGACCGGGAGCGAGACCGCATGGACTACCGCGGAGGTGATCGTTACGATGGCGACCGTGACAGGCCAAGAGATAGGGATAGGGATCGCGACAGGGACCGCGACAGGCGTGACCGTTCTCGTGATCGCGACCGAGCCAGAGATGACCGTCGAGACACTAGACGCCGGAGTCGATCAAGAAGCCGTGATCGCGAGAGAGACCGGTCCAGAGACAGGGACCGAAACAGGGACCGCGACCGCGACCGCGACCAGGATCGAGATCGGGATAGGGACAGCCACTACCGCCGCAGTCGCCGCGAACGAAGCGTGTCCTCCCGACGGGACAGGGACCGAGACCGTGACCGAGATCGCGACCGTGACCACGGGCGAAGGCGGAGCAGGAGTCGTGGCTAGAAGCTACGATTTGCTCAAGCGTCCACGCCTACCAGACTTGCCCAAGTCACCCGGTGTTACACGGGCACTCCTCTAGTGTATGAGGACGGAGCGTCTCTCCCGGGCGTGGACGCAACAGTCGTCAAGGCCGAGGCCGCAGCAATCACGATAAAGGAAGAAAGAGGTGACTGAGGTCGCGGCCAGAGGTCCCGGTTTAATCAACGACACGACTCATGTTGCAACCTTGTGTAATGTAATAATACTATCACCGGGCGGAGAAAGGGGGCTTGGCATAAAACAAGGGAGGCTTTTGACAGGTTTTCAGGAGTTACCCGGACATGAACGGAACGGGATTGAGTGCCTTAGCTTTGATACCTGTATCAGTTTTGCGAAGTTGTGTTGTATGTACTGATTGCGCCCTTGGTAGCATGCCTTGGCCACCAAAGTGACGACGATAAATACAGACACCCCTTGACCATAGAGAAGCAACTATGGCTCTCTGCTTGCATTATCCATCTCATCCATCTTCACTACTTTGCCCATATCATTCTTTCTTCCCAAACCCCCACGCCGGCCAGCAAGACTCCTCCCAAACCGCCATGACATTCCAACCCCTTCCTCTTCTATTCATCAAAATGTGGCCTCATTAGCAGTCGACCAACCCCATCTTTACCCGGACGATAGTGCGGCGCGTCCGAAAATCAATACCAGCCCAACCAACGCAGGAAAGAAGAAAGAACCCCCCCTTCGCCAAATAAACGCCATTCCATATCAAAACCCGACCCCGACCCCAACCCAGCCCAGCCCAGGCCCAGTGTAGCCCAGTGTAGCCCAAGCCACCCAAACAAGAAGACACCCACTACGCCGTCCCCGCAGCAGCAGCCAGCTCCTCGGCCGGCGCCCCGCGATAAAAGAACCCGCCCACCAAAAACAGCACCACCGCCGCCGCGACGGCCATCACCAAAGTCCTACGCACGGCCGACGGCAAGCCACCACCACCGCCGCCTGAGTAGTGATGCTGGTCGTCGCCCTTGGCCAAGGCCCAGGCGGCCTGGGAGAGCACGACCAGCTGGTCCCAGCCGAGCGAGTAGTAGAGCAGGCCGGCGAGGGCGATGGCGTAGCCGAGGACTTGTAGTGGGGTGATGTTGGTGCGCCAGATGAGGACCGAGATGATGACGAGGAGGATGTTTTTGAGGATGCCGGTTAGGGTCATGACGAGGCCGGAGGTTTTGCCGATCTGGTGGGAGGGGGGGAGTTAGTTGGGGTTCGAAGGGGGGTGGGGTTTTATTTTGGGGGGAGATGGGGGGTGAGAACTTATTAAGGAAGACGCTGCTCACGTTGAGCATGAAGGCGACCATGGCGTTGAGCAGCAGGAGGCCGTAACCTGCTTGGGCGAGGTCGGCAGAGTTGAAGCTGTCGGCTTCGTAGACGATGGCGATGATGAAGTTCATGACGGCGCAGACGGGCGCGTAGTAGTACAGACTGACGAGCGGGTCCATCTTCTGGGTGTCGCCCGACAGCAGCACCTGGATCATGACGAGGCGCATAGCCTCGAACACGATGCCGCCAACCTTGGAACAGGAAGCCGGCCAGGCTGAAGTCGATCTCGCCCAGGCTGGCGAGCGCCACGCCGGCCCACAATGAGCAACACGTTAAGGAAACGCTTGAGCGAGGGGTCCTCGACACCCCAGGCCCAGCTCGTCAGCAGCACGGCGACGGGCGCGGCGGCCTTGAGCATCTGAATGAAGGCAACGCTCAGGTATAGATAGACCATGTTGCTGCAGACCAGGCTGGCGCTGTACAGCAGGCCGATGGGTACGATGGCGCGCAGGTAGGTGCGCCCTGTCATCTTGACATTCTTGCGTCCGTCGAGTAAGTTTGTGGTCCGCGCCAGGACCTGGGTCGCGATGGTCGCAAAAACGAGGTGCCAGCATGTGAGAATCACGGCTATCGATGTGTTAGTAGTGAACCTGGAGCGCGGAAGGGGATGGGTCGGAGGGAGCGCCGGGGACGAGGCGGGGACATACGGTATCCTGAAAACAGCGGTTAGCACTTTGCTCATCCTCTTGCTTGGGCATCCCGCATGCACTTACTGAAACCCCGGCCATCAATCATCCATTTGTTGAAGAGAATTGTTAGGTTGGAAAAGAAGATCCAGCTCCTGCACAACCCAGACTGTCAGCAAGATGCTCTCTCGGTGACCAGACCCTCCATCGTCACGCCAAACATACGCGATGTAGAATACCGCATGCACTGATCGCTCAGCCGGGCGCGGCTTCTCGACCTGGCGCTCGACATCATCTTCGGCCATATCGGCGCGGGGCGGAGACGGGCGGTTCCGGGTTATCTGGGTCTATCGCGAACGAACGGGAATCCGGTGATTCAATCGGGATCCGGGGGTGGGTGGACAAGACAGACGACGCAATAACGCGATTTCCGGGTGCCGAAATTGATATCTCCTCTTGGTCGATCGGCTGGGGGAGTGGGGAGGGAGCAAGGGATTAAGAGCGAGGGTGTCGAGGATCCGTCTGATGAGACTACAGAATATCAGATTATCAACCAGCAGCTTTACTCGAATGGGCGATTGTTGCGGATTGGCGAAAAGGAAAGAATGGCCGCATGGGAGAAACGTGGTCCGGAGGTCGAGAGTCCGAATGAACGAAACAAAAGAGTGGAAGGAAGTGGCCGTTCTCGGTTCTCGTGTTCGAAGAAGGGCTGAATCAAGTGCATGCAACCACCGACCGGATGGTCGGCGCTGGTCCCCTGCTGCCCCTTTGTTGAGCGCACCGCAGCCCAAAAAAAGGATCGCGCAGCCTGTCGGCGGGGCAAGTTTACTGTGTGCTGCTCCAGGCTGAGACCCCACAGGTCAGCAGCAGGGATGTTCGCAATGGGAACGAGCTGCTCGCCAATGAAACTGTACGACCCCAACCTGATGATGCCTGGCGTACCTTCAACCTGCAGGTAAGCGGCAAGGATTGGAGAACTGGACGATCACCGAGGCCCAAAAAAATGATATCGGGAATCAAAAATCGAGGTGGAAAAAAGATTGAGTGTTGTGCCCACAATGCCCGGATTCATATCTATCCGGGTTTGTCAAATTCCAGGCTCAATATTGACAGTTTGGATACAGATATTCTCACAGAGACGACGGAGTCAAGTACACAGGAATGAAAAGCACCAATGCTCCGCTTTGACGCTTTTTGTCTCGGAAATTCACATGGTCGCACTGGCGGGCACTGATTGGAGGCCACACACAAGCCAGCCTCTTCCATCTTCCACCGTTCGTGATGAACCCTGCCGCTATCTCTTCCGTTGCTAATACAAATACCACTCCTTCGTAGTCTAAAAAACCAATGCTCTTCAATGCATTACAGAACGTTCGTTGTTTGCAAAGTGGCATGGAAACCCAAGCCAAGATCATCTGCGATGCATGCTGGCATCTAGAGAAGCTTATTTTAATTACTCCTTAATCCTTGACTACTTGGCGCAGAGCTTAGCCAGCCGCCTTTCAAGAACCAAGAACGGGTCAATAAGCTTCCTCATCGTGATAAAAATCGCGCCCTTAATAACAACGCTCATAACCGCGTCGCCTCTCATACCACATATCCTCTAAACCATAAACCCATCCATGCAAACCAACTTCGCCGGAACCACGTACGCTCCGCGCTAGCCCATATATCAGGTCCAAGCCCGAGGAAGAAAAAAGCCTATAGTATCCCTCTTAACCAAGAACGCCGTTCGCTATGCATAGGTACCCAGTAATAGGACAACCGGAGTGAGCACCGACCATCCCTCGCCTCAGCTTCTCAATAAGCTGCGGTGGCCTAAACCCCAGGGACTTGAGCAAGAGACTGCGGAAACTCTGTTGGCACCTGACCTATATCCTGATCTTCCGCCGGATCTGCCTTCCGAACGGAGGGACGGGCGAGCCACTCCGGGGGTTCATCAGAACCCGATGGCGAAGGTTGCCGCTGACCGGCCATCTCATCCAACCCACTCGCCGGTATCGGTGTTCTGGGTAGTGGAAGACCATTGTCGAACGGTGTCGGAGGGTTCGAATCCGCCAAAATCTCCCCATTTTCCTGCACCGCGCTTGGGCTAGGTACAACACACCACGGTGCTAGATCGTCCGCAAGCGACATGCCCAGCATCTTGGCATCTTCCAAGCCTTGCTCCGTAGCGGCATGTCGGTTCGCATCCGACACCAGTATCGAGTTGGGATCGACACGGTCGTAAAACAGCATGAACACACCGCCCTGGGAGAGAACAGTGCGCTCATCCACTTGGGCCACATGCTCGTCACTCAACCGCCACCACTGGGATTGTGGCTCGTCTTGACTTGAGCACGATCCATCTGCCTCGCTCGCGCTGTGTTCGGTATCCCCTGGCTCCGTCTCGTCGTCCAGGTCCATGCGCTCAGCCGCCACACTCTTCTTGGTTGGGGGACAAGAGGGGGGATGTTTCCGGTAGCAGACGTAGTGCCCGTTCTCGTGATGGCCCTGATGCGTGACTACCGCGCGTAGTTCGTAAATCGGGCCCGTGATCCTACTCGGCTCCCGGTCTCCCGCTACCATGGACACCCTAGGGTCTAGCGTCCACTGCTCAACATCCCCAACGGTAGCCGCACCTTCTTTCAAGGACGTCTGGCCATCCGTACTGCCTAAACACCAAGGCCCCAGGTCCAGTAGCAAAGGGAAGCGGACAGCAGCCGAGTTCTTGTACATGTAGCCCGTCTCTTCGTCGAAGCCAGACCGGTTGATGTGGAAAGCCAGGCTCGGCGGAGGTCGCGCAAGCACAACCTGCTTCGTTTTTGTCGAGCTAGCCCTCATCTTTGGCGTGATTCTGCATTTTCCCGCCACAGTGCTTTCGTCAAACGCTTCTTCCTCGAGGGCCTCTTCCAGGACTTGCAGTCTCTGTTGAAACTCGGGGACGGCCCCGGTGCGCTCAGCAAGAGTCTTGAGCACGTCTCGGGCCACGATTAGGGAACATTTGACGCACTCGACGCCCGCAATCGACTCGACCTTGGTGTAGTGGTCGAGCCGCTCGTAAAGATCGTGTTCAGCGCGGTTACCGAGCGTCAACGTCAGACAATTGAACGGAATCATACTCAATCCTTCACAGTAACCACAATTGACGCAGGCCACGCGCTGTGCCATCATCCCTTCGAGCGGGTTTCGAGCAAGACGGGGAGCCTCAAGCCCAGACTTGGGGTGGCTATGCAAGCTTTGATATCCACTGTCATCGCTATGCTGGCTGGCAGAGGAGTCGTAGCTGGCGCGGTCCGAGTCGAGAGCGCTTACGTCTTTGAGAGCACGGGCAGCCTTCGCAATCTCATTGTCGATTTGGTCTAGGAGCTTCGAGTAATATTCCTGTGCGTCTTGTTGCTGCCACGTACTCATGTTCGTTAACGCCTTTGGCGTCCAGAGTGTCCGGCCATTGCTCGAGGGGTCGGTGAGCTCGACAATCAACGCCCGCAACGTGTCGGCGGTTCGAGTCGGAGAGCGATCGAGCCCCCCCTCGGCAGAGATTGCAGACAGATACGCCGGAAGAGGCGTGAGCGATGCCAGTCCCTGCAGGATGCTGTTCTGGTAACAGGAATTGTTGTAATTTCCCAAACCAGCCGGATGGTCGCCCGCAGCTCTTGGCAGAGAAGCGCCGGTAAGACCGCTCAGGCTTTTACGTCCAGCCTGCGCGACCGAGCTAATAATTCCGCCCCCATTATCGATTCCCAGAATCCTTCTCAGGGCATCGCTTTTGGCGGCACGTGTCGGCAGCTGCGGTTCGAGCATGTGTGTCGGAAAAAGCGGGGGGTTCATGAAACGGTCGATGGCAAAGATGACGCGCGCCGGAATGACAGTGACCGCGGCGTCACATAGACGCTGGAGAAGCAAAGAAAGTCGACGATGTTGGTGGGCCGCCTGGTACACTATGGTGGCGGCGAGTACGACAATTGTGAGGATCACGGTTGGGCTGTTGAACCGGTCTTGTAGTTGTCCGCCAGCGCTGTGCTGGTACGAACTCGGAAATCCGCGGCTGTCGAACTTGTTGAAAATGCGTTTCGCGTCGGTATTCATTTCTGTTGGCGAAGAGGGCGGCGGAGGGCAAGGAACCGAGGCGAAAGAGAGGTGGCAGATGGGAACGTGGTGCTTGGCTTAGGAAGCTGACGGTGTTGAGGACAGGAAGGAATACAGAAATGCCATGTCCAATAAGAGAGAGGGTGTTCTGGCCCAGCCAAAAGAGATGAAAGAAGATGTGTACAATTGACGGAGGAAGCAAATGGGAAGAAGGAAAAAGCTAGGTCGATGCACATGCGTGTGAGATGGCTTCCTCGTGCTGGGGAAAACACCTTGGCATTGTTGGCTGACGCACTAATTGGTCGCCTGGAGCTTAGGCTGTGGGGTCGCAATGCATGGGACTCGAGGGCCCCTGCCGGAAGGCGGGTCCGGGTAAAAGACCCCACTGAAAAAGAAAGAGTAAACCCCCCATCCAAAAAAAATCCCAGCGATAAGAGAGGTTCTGGAACCACCCCGCGATACCGCGGTTGATAACGAACACGGCCAGGCAAAACAAGATGGCCAAAGGCAGCATCGCCAAGGGCAAGAGAGGTACAAATTTCCAGAAAGCCCCCCTAAGAACCCCTTTTTCGTGCCATACTTAACTCACCTTCCCCCTCCCTTTAGGCCCCTCAATACACTCCCGCGCGGCGCGGCGGGCGACCTCTCCGGGCATCGACACGGACAAGTCCCTCAAGCAAGTGCGACCGCCGCAAGAATCCATCGACCGGCGGCCCGCAGTCCTCGCCGCGCGCCAAGAAGGGGGCGTGACCAAGAAGGCCAAGACGGGCCGCAAGGCGGTGCTGAGCACGCGGGCGCGGCGGCGGCAGGAGCGCAGCATGGACAAGGCCGAGGCCATCATGGACCGCACGGCCGTCAAGGTGCAGAAGAGCAAGGGCCACGCGCGCGTCATCCACGGCCGCCGCAAGACGTGGGAGGAGGTCAACCGGGAGGCGTTCGAGCTCGAGGAGCAGCGCAAGCTGGGGAAGAAGGCCAAGGCGAGGATGGAGGAGGATGCCGCGGTGGCGGCCTTCTACGCGGATGATGGTGATGCTGAGATGGAGGGTGCTGAGGATGATGGGGAGGTGGCGGTGGCGGGCGATGCGGGGCCTGCCTCGATACCAGCGGTGGCCGTGCCGGTCGATGTGGTGGAGGAGGATATTTTATAAGTGTTGGAGTTTGCGAATGGCTGGTTGGCAGGCATATCATACATGGACTTTGTCAGGCCGTGCCTGCTGGGTCGTCAAGAGATAGGCTCGCAAGGGCGCCACCAGTACGGTGCAAGCGTTCTCGCCAAAACAGCCAAGGAGTGATTTGGAGGCAGGAGCAGCTTGCTCCAACTCAAGCAAAGAAAGCCACTACGATACCCAAGCTGGTTTAAAGGCGAGAGAGATCAAAAGGTACAGGAAGATCGAGATGCGCATCGCAGAGGCATCCCAAGGAGTGGCACGGGCCACCTCATATGAGAACATGGAGCGTCCAAGATGTTCGTTCCGCAACAGTCAAGAAAGGAGACTCCATCCAACAAGCACATGACATGAGCTACCACGGGCTATTCTTTGTTTGTTCTTTCCTTTTACAGTGGAACCGGCATCAGCACTCAAACCATTTTACAGACCTAATTTTAGCAAGAAAATGGAAGGGAAGAGGCGTGGGAGCAGGTCGATCAAAGATGGTGTCCCGGTTTGGGCGTTGTGTCTCGCCCCTTATAATTTGCTAATTGTAAGCATTTAATTCCAATAAGCGGGTTTAGCTCAGTTGGGAGAGCGTCAGACTGAAGTTAACTTCGGCAAAATTCAATATCTGAAGGTCATGTGTTCGATCCACATAAACCGCAAGCAAAGCTAGAGCTCAGAGTGCAGTACTATATAGTACGATACCTAGCTATACTTTTGTTTCCCAGACCAGGTGTCTAGGTACTTCTATTTGGTTAATTTTTGTTTTGAAATGTTTCAACATTTGAGCTCTCTTTATGATCTGCTTCATCCTGATGATTTGATTCCTCTGATACTTCATGCACACTATAGCTGGTATCGTAGATTGAGATCCCCTCTTTCGTTCTTCCTCTGCGACGGCTCCCAGAATAAAAGACTCGGTGTGACGCTGTTTTCAGTGTTATCCAGGTCAGCCAGCACGAGTGATATGTACAAGCAATAAGGAGAAGGGGTCTTCGGCTAGCGTCTGTATATTACCATTGCTGTGGTCCGCGACTAGCCTATTGCATATGAGAGGCGTGCTGTGCTGTACGGGAAGATACAGATTGTAAGATCATGTCCTGGTCGTCTAAGCGACCGATACCTTTAGTGACTTTAGCTAGATACTAGAGTCACTAGTCCGTGTGACGCGACACAACGACTACGCCAGTTACATCAACGGACTACACCACTCCCGGGCTTACACCCGGCTAGGCTGAGGACTCGGATCTCGGTGTTTTATTGGATCCGCCCTGGGATTTGATACATGTATCGATGTCGGCGTCGCCGCAGCCGCCGTGAGCCATCAGATCTTGACGTAGCTGGTACATTTCGTCAGTCAAGCTGATAAGGTCCGCCTTCAAGCGACTATTCGTCTTCTCGAGGTCCTCAAGATGGTTTTGCTTCTGCTCTAACTCCCACTTCTTTTTCTCCCGAGACTTTGCTACCGCCAGGCGATTCTGCACCTTGTCGCGGACCCGCCGCCGTTTCGCCCCCGCCTTTGTTGGCCCGGGGCGTCCCGTCCGTGTAGATGATGTGCATATGGGCCCGTTGGTGTTCTCGCCCACGGATTGCTGCCGCTGAAGTTCGGGCATCGGTGTGGGGCCATAGCACGACCTTTCGGTGCCATCCCGGGGGGTGTCAGTATCAGTAGCATGGTTGCTCGGCGGAACAAGGCCAAAGAATGCCCAGTAATCAGCCTCCATGTCGAAGGCGTGTTCCTGAGGTTGACTGCCTACCGTCGAGGGGAAAGATGGGGGGAGGGCATAGCCTTTTTGGTGCTGGTTTGAAGAGGACATATCGATTGGCGAAGGGAAAGGTGTATTTAGTGTATCCTGGATGAGATTGTGGGATGTATTGGTTTGTTTAGGTCTAGAAAAGAAGGCATTTTTCTAGTCAGACAAAAAAGAGGCAAACAGCCCAGGTTGTTCTGAATACACATGTTGTTCCGAAGTCTTCATTTTTTGGAGAGTGTCTGCCGCAACGCACTACTGTGTTTGTGCGGTGTTAGTTGGTGTGCGGCTTCGTAAATAAACGGCAGGGCATTTCCGAGGTTCCTAGATAGGTACCTATTTACGGACTTTGGGACCTCTGATAGGTAAGGTAGGTTGTTCGATGTCGAAGACTGCGGATGAGGTTAACAACATGGATGGATGGATGGATGGATGGAATTTATTTCGCCCGGAGGCACTAAAGCGGGACCTGCTGGTTAAGGCTCGTGGTTGAGGCTCGTGGTGTTGAGTGTCGGCTTCTTCTACTGTGACTGGTCTAGACTCTCCTCCTCATTGGTTAACAACATGGAAGCCAAGGCCGCCCCGCCAACTGCGAGTGAAGTCTCAGGCAGATGCCAAGACGGGACGATCGATCTGCACAATGGCTCAAGAGTGGGTTTACCTTACCTGAGTTATTGAGCCTCACCCGACAACAACCCAACCCAACTCACACCGACTGCACCTCCTGCCCAGCATAAAAATCGGACAACGGTCAGGCACAGTCATCCTACCAACAACAAAAAAAACCAAAGAAAAATCGAAACCCAAACCCCGCTGACTCATGGAGGCAGTCGCCAACCCGCGCATCACCTGCGCATACCTCAACTCGTACGTGGGCAAAAATGTCATATTCGTCGGCAAAGTCATCCAATTGCGGGGCGAGGAGGCCATTATCGATGCCGACGGCAACATCACCGCCCATCTGAATCGCGTACGTTGCCGCTTTAACCGAACCCCCGTCATTTCACCACCCTTTATGTTCCCGTTTTCTCTCAGTCCCTGACCCCTGAACCGAGTTGAAACGAAGTACCCATGAGGGAGGAGGGGTAAAAAAAGAAGAGGCGGTGGGGATCACAATGAAGATGGCCACCGCCCAAACAAACCCCGGCAGATGAGGAGAACCACCGCTCACACCACACGTAAACATAGGAGGCACATCTGCTCGCAGGCAACGCCGCGCAAATCATCGGCAAGGTCAACCCGGATCTCTCCATCAAGGTGCTCAGCTCCATGGACCTGGGCACCAACGTCGGTAAGTCACCAGATAGAGCCACACAGCACCTCTGGATAGCGAGGCGAAGAAGAGGAGGGGAGGGGGGGGACCACAAACCACCACATTTCCCATGTGTGCCGTACCCCCAATCGAGTTCGTTCTAACATTACCAAACAGACTACAACCTGGCCAACACGGTCGTAGAAATCTCGCACCAGCATCGGAATCTGTTCGCCTACGATTAGGCGACGGTCAGCCAGGGCTAGGGCTGCTGAGAACGGCGCGAACTGCGTTGTGGTAGGGCGGACGTGGGGGGTTCTTGCCCTTCACGGCTAGCTCTGCCCTCAGAAGCAATCCTATGACATAGACGAAATCATAGGTGGGCAGTGGAGCAGCAAAGGAAAAGGACGGTGCGGGAGCCGGTTTGGAGCATGAAGGGAGCAGGATAGTAATGGGCAGGAAACTTGAGTGCCCTAGCGCAGACGGGGCTGGTAAGGCGCCCCGGAAGGTGGACAGCTAGTGCAGGTTACCGATGTGCGCGGCATATTTCGCTGAGAGCTCACCCCCAGAGATATTGAATGGTCGGGCCTTGTTTGGTCAAAACATATGCAGCATGTGTGATATATATTTAGTTTTGCTCCGCTGTTAATACCACGGACTTGAACCACAGCTCTGCGTCTAACTAATAACTACCTAACATTGTGACCGTCGTGGTCGAGGGCCGCCCAGTGCATCACGAAGCCCTGCCCTGCTCCCCACTAGTCTCGTCATCCTCAAGCCATCCTCCTCAAAATGTCCACATGATACCCCACGAGGTACAGCGTCCGTTCTTAGCCCCTCGCCTGAAAACGATCGAAATATGCCCGCTTAGGCCTGTGTGCTAGGCACGCGGCAACCCCCCCACCTGTCCCCCCCCCCCCACCTCCGCCCCTTCTCTGGTTCCAACAAAAAAAAAGAAAGTAACCATTGAATCGTAATGTCGTCTGACAATTCGTAAAGGAACCAGTTGAAAAGCCCTGTTTTCGGTATCCCCGTACCATACTCCGGGCTGGCGCTAGCAATGAGCCAAGGCCGCACATATATATAAAAAAAAAAGAAAACAAAGACCGAACAAAAACGATGGAGGTAAAAAAATGAAACAATGACTCTCCCAACAACGTCGTCACCTCCCCCCCTTCGACCCACCATCATCCCCGCCCATGGACTGCTGATTCCACATCCCCCCCTCCTGCAACACACCTCCAAACGTCTCCCCTGCGCCGCCGCCCCCAGCCCGCGCACCCCTTAGCAGAGGGGGACTACTAGGCATGACTAGATCCGTGCCGAGGAAGCTGCCAAAGTCGACCACGGTGTCGCTACCGGGGCCGCCGCCGACGTCCAGGTGGCTCAGATCAAGGTCACCCACCGACGAGGAGGCCACTGCGCCTGCACCCGCCGCCGCGGACGCCGACGTTCCCTGGCGGTAAGGCGAACCGCTACCGATGAAGTTGTTAGCTTCGCTTAGCAGCTGGTGCAGGGTCGCGGTGAATGGCGAGTCGAACTCCATGGGCATTTGTAGCCCCATGGTCATGGGAAGTTGGTTGTGGTCGGCGTGTTCTATCGAAAACTGGGTGTTGTGGGCGGTGTTGTTGTTGCCTCGGGGGCTGCGGCGCCTGCTAGCGCTACCGGGATGGAGGAAACCGCCCGAGGAACGTGGGGTTTTGGTGGGCGTCTGCTGGAGGTGGTGGCTAGCGAAGAGCTGACCTGGTGATTTGGGGATGCTCCTGCTGGAGCGGATCGACCGGGAGATGCTCCGCGTTATGGGGCGATGGCTCGGCGTCGGGCGGGTCGGTGTCTTAAACGGGCCAGCTACGGCCTTGGGGGGCGGCGTCGATGGGCGTCCGGGAGGCGTCCCGAAGAGCTCCTGTTCAAGTTCGTCTTGGGGAACAGGGGTGCCTTGGCGCTCCTGGTCTGCGCCGTTCTCTTTCCCAGCTGCCGCCGACTTCGCCTCTTGTCCCTGCGCGACTGCTTGCGTTACATTCAGTGAAAGCTCCCCGAGGGCCCTGGGTGTCCCATCCCTTCTAGGCGATGGGAAGAGCAGCCTTCTGGTGCTGCCCAGTTCATCCTCAACTGCAATGGGGCTGTCCACAGTCCCACTACCCCGTGAGTGAGTGGATCCCAAGAAACGCTGTCTCGGGGAGCTCTGGAAGTTTAAATGCTGTTCGTCGGTCATCGTGACGCTCTGTTGCCGCGACTGGGTCTCGTTCTCGTAGTTGTCCATGAAAAAGTCGTGGTCTAGCGGCCCGATCGGGTCGGTGGGTGAAATACGCCTCTGAGGTAGGGTTGACCTGGACGTCGCTCTTTGTGCGCTCCTTCTTCGACCTGGAGTTATTCTTAGGCTCTCGCTTCCTTCTGGGCTGGATGAGCCGAGCAGCGTCCTTGTCCCATCGGTCGGGCGGCCGGTGCACCTTAAATTTCTCAGCCATATGCCACAGGATGCAGAGCAGGGTTTCAGTCCATTT